TGTCATAAACCTTTGGGATTGACAGTGTTGAATTTGGAAGAAGCAAGGAAATCTGAGCTATATTGAAATATGAATATTTCCCACAAAATATCTTTTTCCCACTCTCTGTTTCTAATAATGCTGCCCTCTAATACCACCCACCATCTTTTTAACCACTTAGGCTAGGAATGTCAGGATCTTTTTTTTTTTAAATTTAAATTTATTTATTTATTTTAATTGGCAAATAATTGCTTCACAATATTGTGATGGTTTTTGCCATACATCAATATGAATTTGCATAGGTATACATGTGTCCCCTCCATCCTGAACCCCCCTCCCACTTCCCTCCCAACCCTGTCCCTCCAGGATCATCTTTAATGCAACCTCCTTTGGACTGCAACCTCTTCATGGGCGCCTGCATTCAGTGAGCTGATCAGCTGTAAGGATTCTAGTTCCATACCATCTATGCATCCTATAAGGACTTTTCAATCCAAAAGTAGAGGTCTTATATCTTTCCTTTGTTGCCGGGGTCCAGCCTCGGCAGGATCCAGGGGATACCCTCAGGATGAATGGCGTCGGCGAGAGAGAGAGAGAAGACATGTGAGACCAGCCTTGATAGGGCCAAGTCTGAGAGAGAGAGAGAGAGAGAGAGAGAGAGAGAGAGAGTGACCAGACCGGGGGTGCGGCAGAGTCTGGCAATCCTTTATTTTTTTACCATAGCTTTTATACCCTAAATTAGTACATTTCTAAAGGGAAGATATTTTAACATTACATCAGCTTGTTCTTCACGAAACCAGGGTGTTTTCTGCATACTTCTTTGTTTATGAGGGTCTTGTACATTATCTTCTGGCCTTGGGGCCTATTAACATTTTATGCAGGTCAGGTGAATGTAAACCTATTTTCTGTTTCTATGGTGACCTTAACTGAGAGGTAGCAGTCTCATAGGGCAACAGTACAGAGGAGAAGTATAACCTTGTTAACACAAAAATTAATCCTTCTGCACAAGTTGTCAGTTGCGTTTATCTAAGAAATTTACCCCACACAGACTCTGCGGCTTCAGTGAGGCAGCCTCTGCCTAGCACTCCTGGCGGACAATTAGCAACCGTCTCATTGTTGCCACACTAGGGCTAAGCTCTTATTTTTCTAGATCTATAACTATATTAACAATGGTTTCTATAACACAACCTTAGCACATTAAAAGCAAAAACACAGCAAGCAAAACACAGCAAGCAAACGTCCACCCAATAACCACCTTTAGAATAATTTTTCTTATGTTTTCTAATAGGACTCCTTCACCCCTCAAAAATGCTCTATGTCTATTAGGGCTTTTATATAATCAGGTTCTTTATGCTATTTTATGATTAGGATATTATAAGCAATCATGCATATAAGTACCAAGGGCATAAATGCATTTGGCTAACAAACCAGCAAAGGAGTTTAAATTAAAACACTCCTTTCACCCTGTATAATCTTATAAAATACCACCACCTGGGAAACTTACTGATTAAAGTTCTAAATTGATTCTTATTTGGGAAGAGATTGGGGAAGGCCTTCTGCCTGTGTCACAGAAATTAGGGAGTAGTCTATTGAGGCAGGCATCAGAAAGACAGATATCATCTTTAAGGTGAGCGCCGGGGGCAGCTTTTCAGAATCCCTGAAAACCTGATCCGCCTTGCCCGTCAGGTTTTCTCCCTCATGACCTACCTTGTCATGGGTGGGATCTTGTGTGTGCTGGCTCCCGGCACTTTGTGCTCTCTGCTTTTCTATCTCTCTCTCAATAGCATGCTGAACATATTATTTTTTGCATGTAACCTTCACTGCCTAATAAACCTGATTTGTATTCTTCATCCTGGCTTTTAATGCCTGTCATCATAGGGCCCTAATCAACCCTCACTCCTGCTCCACTGGGCTTCCCTCATAGCTCAGTTGGTAAGGAACCTGCCTGAAATGCAGGAGACCCCGGTTCGATTTCTGGGTTAGAAAGATCTGCTGGGGAAGGGATAGGCTACCCACTCCAGTATTCTTGGGCTTCCCTGTGGCTCAGTTGGTAAAGAATCCGCCTGCAATGCGGGAGACCCCGGTTTGATCCCTGGAAAAGGAAAGGTTATCCACTCCAGTATTCTGGCCTGGAGAATTCCATAGACTGTATTGTCCATGGGGTCGCAAAGAGTCAGACACGACTGAGTGACCTTCACTTTCACTTTCACTTTCACTTTCCTGCTCCACTAAAGAGAATCATTTCCTTACCATGAATCGGCTTTTGCCACTGGTACTTGTTCCGTTGTTCATTCTGAAAATGCCTGATTCCATCCTTGCTCAGTCCAGGCTTCATTATGTTTTTATTGTTTGTTGTATGTTCATTTAATAGTTCATTGGTTTTGATTTATTAGAAGTAAGTTATACTTAAGATATAATTTTGTCCATATACTTGGATAAGGAGGGGAGTTACACTGATATTTGTGAGAACTGTGGTTGTGCAGTTATTTAGACACCTTCTGTTGGTTGAACTGAGGCTCTGTGATTCAGATTGTTTAGATGGTACACTGTCTCCCATTCATAATCTTATCTTAAAATGTTAAATTATTAACTTGACATGAGCTTAGAGAAAGAGATATGTCAGTGTGGGGGGGAATAGGTAGAGGAAGTTGGGATAAATGAGTGGAGACAGGGTATTAGGGAAGAAAAGACAGACATTGCCAAAAGAAGAAAAATATATGTGAATGAAAAATATCAAGAATATTTGTAATATAAAATCATAACTATGCAATTTTATGAAAAACTGAGTAAACATATAAACAGTGACCCAAAGGAATAGTGACTTAAAGATTATAAAGTAAGAACTCTGGAGTGTGTGGCTTGTCTCAGGACTAGCCATGAGACCTTGGGTAAGTTACTGAACCTCTCCTAATCTGTTTTCTCATCTGTGAAGTGGGGGTGAAGAGAGTACCTACCTGTATGGAGTTGTGTGTATTGCATGAGTTTCTTTGTGTAAACAGGCAAACACAATGGGAAGCTCCCATAAGTGTTAACCCCGAGGAGGATGTCTTTTGCTGCTTTCAGGATAGTTTTACTGTTTTCTTGCACTTGTCAAGATTTTACTTGCCAATCTTTTTTTCACTTAATTTTGTTGATTTTTCATCGTATTCGCTTTTCTCCTTGTGTCTTTTTGTTCATGGTATGTTAGTTTGACTTTTTGAGATGTATTATCAAGAATGCCAAAATGTTTCCTGATATTTCATGCTGGATTCTGCTACAAGTCATTTTTTAAAATATAGTTTTTTTCCTGAGTTTTTTTCTGTGCTCATTCTTTCCCTAACTTTGAAGTCTTTTCTTCATAGGTTATATGTATTGTTTATTTTTCCCTTGTACATGCTGATGTTTGAAGAAACCTGTCCCCATCCACATCACCAAAATTGGCTGTAGTTCAGTGTAGTCATTCTCTTCAAAGAAGGCAATGATTTCAGTAGTTAGGTGAAGACCAAAATTAGTAATTAATTGAAAAAAAGTTAGAGTGAGAATTATTAGAAATTACCTGTTTGCTTTTAAATCATTTTTGTTAACAAATCAAATAAATATATTTTATTCACTGATCTCTAATAGAGAACCCAGGCTGCTTTCTTTTTTAAACTAAATTTCATTTACATTATTTACTTATTTTTAAAATGTTTGACCTCACTGTGGGGCATAGGGGGTCCTAGTTCCCCAATCAGGGGTCAAACATATGCCCCCTGCAATGAAAGTGTGGAGTCTTAACCACTGGACCACCAGGGAAGTCCCTGGATGCTTTCTGAATTCTTCCAATTTAGGTACTCATATTTGCATTACCTTAACCCTGCCTCTGTCTAAGACTTCTAGTTTTATTTCTTCGAAGGAATGGGAACTTAAAGATTTCGTGAAGAAAACTGAGTGCAGAATCTCCCTAAATTTTTATAATTTTTTTCTACTGTTTCCCAGTGATCACATCTATTAAGACACCAGTTCTTTTAGTAACTGTGCAAAGCATTGAACTTCTATGGACATAACCTTTTGTGTTCATATTTTATTGGTTTAGGTTATATTTTATTACATAATTGTAATAATAAGTACAGTTTGTCAAAATTGCATTTGAAATAAATCACACTGAAGCTTGTAATCATTAACTCAACTAGTACAAAGGTAAGCAGCGATACCAATGGGTGAGCTGATAGTACAAATGTTCCATCCTATGGGCACCAGGCAGTGTGGTTTACAGAAGGGAGGGGAGGTACCAGTGAATCCAGAGTCTCTGAAATAGAAGTCAGTTGAGGGAGCTTCAAACAGAGCAGTGGTTCTCAAACTTCAGCATGCATCATAATTATCTGTATGGCTTAGTATAACACAGATCGGTGGGCTGCAACCCAGAGTTTCTGATCCCAGTGGGACTGGGGTGAGGGTTTGCACTTATGACAACCTTACAGGTGATGGTAAGTCTACTGTTACAGGGAACACACTTTGAAGACCACTGAACTACAGCCAATTTTGGTAACATGGATGGGGACAGGTTTCTTCAAACATGGATAGGTTGACTGCAACCCAGAGACCAAACATTATTTGGCAGAAGACCAAATGTTGTCTTTCCACTCTATCTACTACCCATCTTCTAGTGGATAAGCCCTAGGTTATCTGTTACTCTTAGGTTTGGTATTGTGTTGAAACTTAACTTTTTTTTGCTGTGTCTACTCAGGAACTTTATTTGAAATTTGGTAAAGGATGGAATGAGAACTGTTAAAGTCTCACATTCATTATTTTTTGCTTCTTTGAAAAAAAAACCTACTAGTTAGCTCTCTCAACCGTGCTAGGCATGCTGTTTTCAAATCACACATTCCCCAGTCTCCTTACAGAAGAAGGAAAAAAACCATTTCTGTCTGTCAGAAATGTGTGTTTGGCAATAGCTTGCCAGCTGCAGGGTGGATAGGCAGCAATGTGGGTGTGTTGTCAGCAAGCTGAAGACTTTGTCTGAGAAGCAGGCAGATTATGTGATTGCTCTGTAATCTCCTTTTCAGAACTGGCTGACGGAGCTGGAGATCTTTGCTATAATCTTCTCAGCTGCCATCCATGACTACGAGCACACCGGAACCACCAACAATTTCCACATTCAGACCCGGTGAGGATGTTGAGTTTGGAAAAGAGGCAAGAGGGGTCAGGGATAGTGTGGAAGTCTGAGAGGGGCAGCCACCTTTCTTTTGCATGTGGCTCTATTTTGAGTTTCTGAAGGAAAAAGAAATGAACTTATATAACAAGAGATCAGCTGGGTCAGCTTCAATCAAAACCTAAGAATTAAAGAAACCATTTGCTCCTGATTGTCCTATGTTATTCACCTTAAATATGGATATACTTCTCTTAGTCACTTCAATCATGTCCAACTCTTTTTGACCCCATGAACTGTAGCTCACCAGGCTCCTTTGTCCATGGAATTCTCCAGGAAAGAATACTGGAGTGGGTTGCCATTCCCTTCTTCAGGGGATCTTCCCAACCCAGGGATCGAACCCACATCTCTTGCGTCTCCTGCATTGCTAGCAGATTCTTTACCACCTGAGCCACCAGGGAAGATCTATTCTCTAGTCTAATGCTAGCTATTTTTGTATGTATGGGCTATGCATACTCTGTTGTCGTTCAGGCCCTAAGTCATGTCCAACTCTTTGTGACCCCATGGACTGCAGCACATCAGGCTTCCCTGTCTTCCACTATCTCCCAGAGTTTGCTCAAGTTTCATGTCCATTGAGTTGGTGGTGCCATCTAACCATGCATACTGTACCCATTTCTAATAGGAGGTGAAACAATTTACATAAAGGTGCAGATACCATGTAGACTAAATCAGGGAGGACAGGCAAGGATTGAAGTAATTTTCTTGACATTAGCAATAGCAGAGCCATCTTACCCTCTGACCTCAGGGATTCTGCTGATGCTTTTCTCATCCTCCCTGATTTCATCTCTGCCCTGTTCAGTGGGTATGTCACTCCCCAACACAAGGTTTTAGGAGCTAGGTGGTCTCATGTAGGCCACTTTGCACCCTCTGTAAGGAGCTTCACAGTAGACACAAACCTCTGTGGGGCATATTAAATACAGGTCCAGGTGCCTCCCTCAGAATCTCTTCACTGTAACAGACATCACAAATCGATTTTGGTAATTTTTTTCTTACCAAACTGCAGATTTATCCTTAGTATTCCTCTCAGCACAGAATTCCAGGCAAGCAGTACAGTCAATTGTCATTTCCATTTAGGGTAAAATCTTATCTGCCTTCTCCTGGTCTAAGAACTTAACCTCTCTTAAGACAATGATGTAGAACTGGAGAGACTCTTGACAGTAGGATTAATTGGATCTTGACATAGAAATCAAAAGAAAGTAGAGCTGGAAAAAGGCAGTGAGACACAGAGAAAGAATATTGTAGAGAGGGTTGAGTTTAAGACTAAAATACTTGCTGATTTCACTTGAAAAAAGCAGGTGCACACTCCAGATACACTTGTGTTCGTTAAGTCATTCTACATGTGTTTAATGAAGCAAGCACTTAATTATGGGGTACACAAAAGAAGACATTATCATCTGATCTCTGTTCTGAAGGGCATTTCAATAGAATGGAAGCAGACAAAAGGTCTTCAGCCACATGCTTCATTTTCTGCTTTCTGCCTCCTCATAGAGTGTCTCTCGGCTGCTGTGGAGCAGCTTTCTGTAGCTTTGTTGTAAGATCTTTGAATACAGGGATTCCACAGAGCATCTCTGTTTAATAGGTGTCTGCCAGTGGAGCCTTCCTTGACAGAGATGGAGGTGCATAGCACCTGCTGAAGGAAGAGAGTTGGGTAGGACATTTGTACCTGGACCTTGGCTGGAGAGCAGTGTCAAACTAGTCACAACTCAGAGGAAAATGGCTTAATTACAGTAGTTAAAAAATAGCTTAACGTCACAAAATACACATCAATTGATGCCTTACGTACTCAATGGATATAAGACTGGATCTTCCACCTCCTTGCCATTTGCTTGTTTTGTATTATCTCCACTGGAGTGGGAAAATTCCGGAGGGTTCAGTTGAGCTTGGTTTGGAATGAAATTTAAACTTTCATCTTCTTTAACTGAATTTTATCCAAAGCATCTCTGCCTGTGAGATCCTTGTTTAGGAAACTAAATATGTGACTAGGTTCTTTGCTCTTCGATGGGCAGACTGTTGAATCTAACACTTTCAAGGTATTCTACATACATTCCAAAGTTTGGAATGCAGATGATAGCTGGAAGTTATATTGAGGAGAAATGGCTGAACTGTCAGTATACGTTGCCTTTATTCAAACCCTGAAAGCCACTGTGGAGCTCTGCAAACTCTCAGTTTATATATCTGGGGCTCAGCTTTCTTCATGAGAAATGAACAAGCCCTAATAATCTAAAGTTTCATTAAATTAAATGTATTAAAATAGTATACCTCCCTATGTATAGGGAGCGTTCATTCAGCTGTTTGAGGAAGTGAATAACAATTGTCATGTAACCCTTATATTTTTTATTCTCAACTTCCCATGTATGACTTTCACTTGGCAAAATTTTAAGATCAAGCTACTAACAAAAGAACTTGCTAACTATACCTGCCAGGTGGTATGTGTTCAGAGAATTACAACTAAAACAAATAAACACATTCTATCATTGAATAAAATAAAAATAATCATTTCAGAAAATATAAGGAAGTTTGACATGACTTGCGTTTGTTGGGTGCGTGAGACAAGTGCTCGGGCCTGGTGCACTGGGAAGACCCAGAGGGATTGGGTGGAGAGGGAGGTGGGAGGGGGGACCAGGATGGGGAATACATGTAAAAAAAAAAAAAAAAAAAGATACACTATGGTTGTGATAAAAAATAAATAAATAAATAAATTAAAAAAAAAAAAAAGAAACAGCAAAATAGCAAAACAAAGTGAAAAAAAAAATCACATTTGCCACCACTACAGTTAATTGAGGTCTTGTTATTGAATAATTTTTAGAGAGTTCTCAAGTTGGATATCACATGTGAAATAATAGCCATATATTGACATTTCAATACCCTGCAAACATCAATTGATAATTTGTAATGTTGGTGTTAGCTTTTTGATTGATATAAATGACATGGGGGCAAAGTTAATTGCTAAAATAGGATAAAGAGATGGTGTATTTCTACCTTTAGGAGAGTTACCTGAAAAATCTCAGCTGTTCAACATCCTAAATTATTTTTCTTGGCTTTCTGTTCAGGTCTGACCCAGCGATTCTGTACAACGATAGGTCTGTTTTAGAAAATCACCATTTGAGTGCAGCCTATCGCCTTCTGCAGGAGGATGAGGAAATGAATATTTTGATCAACCTCTCGAAGGATGACTGGAGGTAAGGATGAGCCACAGGAGAGTTTTGGAAGCCAGGTAAGGAATGGTGAGAGAGATGACGTGCACTTATTTTGAAGAAATAATACTCTGAAGTTTTTCTTGCTGTTTATTTCTCTTTTTTTCTCTTGACACAAATATTCAAATATATTATAAGTGCTTTGGACATATTTGCTATTGGTTACCTTAGGAAACTAGTGTTGTTTTGATCTTAAATGAATTTTATCATTTAACATATTTTTGTCATTTTATTTTTGATTGGACTTCTTAAAAAAATCTTTCAAAATTTGCTAAGGAAATTGACACTTTAAAATAATCATGGGTACTTAATTCTGTCACCTAAATGATACTGTGTGTGTCTTTGAACTTGGGTAGACCTGAGTTTGAATGTGAACACAATCATTTATTAGCTGTATGTCGGTTGGGAAGCTACTCAGCCCCATAACACCTTTAAAAAATTTAATTTCTAGAAAACTTATAATAACATTTACCTTATAATTTGGTTAGGGTAATAATAACTGCTAAAATCCATCTAAAATGCTTAATTCACTTTGTGATACATATAGCAAGCCTGCGGATCATTATAGCCGTTAACGTAGGGTCAAGGTGTTTCAAAACTTGTTGGAAAAGTCATTTAAATGCTTAAAAACTTCTGAATCTACTGTGGTGCAAATTATACTTGTATTTTAATTAAATTATTTGTTGTTTATTGAATATCTCTGTGCCATTATACAAGGATTCAGAGAAATAAGTTATTCTGAACAACAGATCGGAAACTTGATTTTCAGGAAGAGCTGGCTATTAGTTTCCATGCAGCTCTAGTTCATTAAAACATAGAGGAGTATTTGTCTTGGATTTTACTGGAAAATGGTAGATTTAAGAAGCATCTAAAAATGCAGAGCATTTCAGTGAATCAATGCAAATCTTTCAGAAAAAGGAGCCCTCTGTCCAATTTAAATGTTTATAAAAGTATAATGAAAGATTTGAATATGGCAGAGAACAGCTTTACACATATTCAGATATGTCCTGGTTTTGAAGTATTTATGCTTGTGTAGATAGTGTTATGTTACTGGTCCCAGGACAGTCTAATGAAGCGCTCCAGAGCTTGCATGATTACCTCTTTTTTTTCTTTCTTTCTTTTTTCCCACCCCCCCTTCCTTTCTTCCTTACTTTTCTTATCCCAGGGGAGGGATATAGGGAGGTAAAGTCGGATAGGTGCACTCTAGAACTCCTTGAGTCCTAAAGAAAGTTCAGCAAGGCTGTCAGGAAGTTCTTGAGCCACAGTCAGCCATCAGAGTAGTTCCATGTCTCCCAGGAAGAGATAGCCTCAGTCACCTGATGCAGCCCAGGGAAACATGACCTTGGGCAAAGATGGCAATAGTTGTCAGAATGTAGTAGCTGAGGCCCATGGCCACTTAAAGTCCTGAAGTTGGAAGTCTGTGTGATATATTTTCATGGCCACTATCCCATAGAGATTAAAATATTATACTAAATGGCTGCATAATATTCCATCTGTGGAAGTGCCATAATTAGTTTTGAATGTGTAAGTATGCGTGCATTTGTGTGTTTGGTTATTATGAAGAATCTTACAATGAATATCTCTTTAATGTATTTTTATATGTAGAATTAATGGATCACAGAATGTTTGATGTTTTAAGGTTTTTGTTGAACTTTGTCAAATTGCTTGCAGGTAATGTGCTGAGACTGCTGGCCTGTGGGATTTGTGAACATATGGGAATTATGGCTGGATGGGCATAATTGCCTCTTAACCTATTTTCAAAGTACAGATATGCCACTTTTATTAGCTATAGTTTTGTTAAGGATTTTCTATTTGTACTTAACTATATGTTTGTCAGAATTTAGTTATGTTATTTGTGCTTCCGCTTTGCTATGATCATGAGCCTCATTCATTGTTCAGTGTACTGCTATATTAGTACACTAACCCTAACCCTAACACTAGCCCTGAGTTTTATTAGGCTGGTTTTGACAATATCTAAACCCAGAATCATTGCAACACACCAGAACATATCAGTTCACACTGGAATACATAAATATGAACCAATGCAAACATCATAATTATTTATCATTAGCTCTGTAAAGTAATACTAAAAATTCTCCAAGCCAGGCTTCAACAATATGTGAACCATGAACTTCCAGATGTTCAGGCTGGTTTTAGAAAAGGCAGCGGAACCAGAGATCAAATTGCCAACATCCACTGGATCATCGAAAAAGCACGAGAGTTCCAGAAAAATATCTACTTCTGCTTTATTGACTATGTCTAAGCCTTTGACTGTGTGGATCACAACAAACTGTGGAAAATTCTGAAAGACATGGGAATACCAGACCGCCTGACCTGCCTCTTGAGAAACCTGTATGCAGGTCAGGAAGCAACAGTTAGAACTGGACATGGAACAACAGACTGGTTCCAAATAGGAAAAGGAGTATGTCAAGGCTGTATATTGTCACCCTGCTTATTTAACTTCTATGCAGAGTACATCATGAGAAACGCTGGGCTGGAGGAAGCACAAGCTGGAATCAAGAACGCTGGGAGAAATATCAATAACCTCAGATATGCAAATGACACCACCCTTACAGCAGAAAGTGAAGAAGAACTAAGGAGCCTCTTGATGAAAGTGAAAGAGGAGAGTGACAAAGTTGGCTTAAAGCTCAACATTCAGAAAACTAAGATCGTGGCATCCGGTCCCGTCACTTCATAGCAAATAGATGGGGGAAACTGTGGAAACAGTGACAGACTATTTTTTTTGGCTACAAAATCACTGCAGATGGTGACTGCAGCCATGAAATTAAAAGATGCTCCTTGGAAGAAAAGTTGTGACCAGCCTAGACAGTATATTAAAAAGCAGAGACATTACTTTGTCAACAAAGGTCCATCTAGTCAAGGCTATGGTTTTTTCCAGTGGTCGTGTATGGATGTGAGAGTTGGACTATAAAGAAAGCTGAGCACCAAAGAATTGATGCTTTTGAAGTGTGGTGTTGGAGAAGACTCTTGAGAGTCCCTTGGACTCAGGAAGTCAGTCCATCCTAAAGGAGATCAGTCCTGGGTGTTCATTGGAAAGACTGATGTTGAAGCTGAAACTCCAATACTTTGGCCACCTGATATGAAGAGCTGACTCACTAGGAAAGACCCTGATGCTGGGAAGGATCAAAGGCGGGAGGAGAAGGGGATGACAGACGATGAGATGGTTGGATGGCATCACCGACTCAATGGAGATGAGTTTGGGTAAACTCTGGGAGTTGGTGATGGACAGGGAGGCCTGGTATGTTGCAGTCCATGGGGTCGCAAAGAGTTGGACACAACTGAGCAACTGAACTGAACTGAATTGCATTCTTATTGGTTGTTATTTGTGAAGTACTAGTTGAGAATACTTTGAATCCTACCTCTGATCAAAATAAGTTATAAAAATGAATGGTGTGGCAAGACATAAGTAAATTTAGTATATAAAAAGTTAAATTAGTCACTTGGAAAATATAGTTTAATGAAATCTGTTTATGTGGTAGCCTTATATATTTTTGTTCTTTTTTAAGTCAGCACAATCTTTATTATCTCAAAAAGAGTGAAATATAGTTGAATTAGGTCATGGAGCATCTCAGATACAGGAATTTCTGGTTCAGTGGAAACATCTTTATAATTATAACCCATAGTGCCATACTTTTTTGCTACTCCTGTTTTTTGGGGTTCTGTAAGTTAAGAAAAGATTGTAGTTGATAACTTCTTAAGTTACATAGATTTAGTGTTCATTTAAGGACATGTTTGAAAATATTATTTTATCATATTTTATTAATATTGAGATACATTACTTCAAGACTGGTATTATCCCATAAATAAAATATTAACTTCTTTTTTAGGGCTCTCAGTAAAGCCCATTAACCCAAAGATGACATTTATTTAGTATTTTACATCTTTCTAGGAAAGCAATTTAATATTTGGTAGATTCTATTTGGATACATAAGTGCAGTGGACTTTTTAAGGACTTTACAAGTGAATATATTACCATGTATTTACTGCATTGCAAAGTGGAAAAACATGAAATCCCACACTGGGAATGCCAGTTCAGCTGCTCATAAGGCAATTCTGTAAATAGCAACTATTAACTCTAGACAGAAACAAGATCAAATTACCAACTTTGTTGAATCACAGTGGAAACAAGGGAATTCCAGAAAAACATCTACTTCTGTTTCATTGACTATGCTAAAGCCTTTAACTGTCTGGATAACAGCAAACTGTGGAAAATTCTTCAAGAGATGGTAATGCCAGATCACCTTACCTGTCTCCTGAGAAACCTGTATATGGATCAAAAAGCAAGTTAGAAACGGACATGGAACAACTGACTGGTTCCAAATTGGGAAAGGAGTATGACAAGGCTGTATATTGTCACCCTGCTTATTTAATTTATATGCAGAGAGTACATCATGTGAAATGCTGGGATGGATGAATCACAAGCTGGAATCAAGATTACTGAGAGAAATATCAGCAGCTTCAAACATGCAAATGATGCCACTCTAATGATAGAAAGGAAAGAGAAACTAAAGAACCTCTTGATGGAGGTAAAAGAAGAGACTGGAAAAGCTGGCTTAAAACTCAACATCCATAAAATGAAGATCATGGCATCTGGACCTATCATTTCATCGCAAATAGAAGGGGGAAAAGTGTAAGCTGTGGATTTTATTTTATTTTATTGGGCTCCGAAATCACTGCAGACAGTGACTGAAGCTAGGAAATTAAAAGATGCTTGCTTCTTGGAAGGAAAGCTATGACAAACCTAGACAGCATATTAAAAAGCAGAGACATCACTTTGCTGACAAAGGTCTGTATAGTCGAAGCTATGGTCTTCCCAATAGTCATGTACAGATGTAAGAGTTGGACCATAAAGAAAGCTGAGTGCAGAAGAATTGATGATTTTGAACTCTGGTGCTGGAGAAGACTCTTGAGGGTCCCTTGTACAGCAAGGAGATCAGATCAGTCAATCCTAAAAGTAATCAACCCTGAATATTCATTGGAAGGACTGATGCTGAAGCTCCAATACTTTGGCCACCTGATGGAAGAGCCAACTCATAGGAAAAGACCCTGATGCTGGGAAAGATTGAAGGCAAAAGAAGAAGGGGATGTCAGAGGATGGGTTAGATAGCATCACTGATTCAATGGGCGTGAATCTGAGCAAAATGAAAGATAGTGAAGGACAGGGGAGCCTGGCGTGCTACAAGTACATGGGGTCAGAAAGAGTTGGACATGACTTAGTGAGTGAACATCAACAACAGTGAACAAAATACAGAGACACAAACACAACCTCCAATGACTTGAGGGCTCTAGAGAGTAAAAAAAAATTGGACAAATTTTGAAGATGTGCTGAAATTTGGAAACTCTAATAGGAAGAGGTGACTGTGATGTTTTTGTCTCTGAAGGCAGTCTCAGTCAAGGCAATACTGAATGGTTAAAATTAGATTTATACAAAACCTTCCAGTATGTTTCTGACTAGAGGCATTCAATGGGGGAAGGAAAAGCTTTTCAACAAATGGTGTTGGAGCAAGTGGATATCAATATAAAAAAAACTTTCACCTTTACCTCACGTCATACTCAAAAATTATCTTGAAATTGATCATAGACCTAAATGTAATAAAAGATTAAAATGGTAAGACTTCCAGAGGAAAAGTCCTTTCAGTAGTGAGAGATTTCTCAGGACCCCCCAAAGCATAAAACCTTAAATAATTATTTTAAAATATAAAACTTTTGCTCTTTGAATGATACTGGTTTAAAAAAAAGTGACAAGAGTAGGAGAAATTATTCACAATACATTGAAATGTATTGAATTGTGCAGCCTATATGGAAGTAGTTTATTCTATGCAAATTCTACCTCAATAAAGTTCTTAGCGATAGTGAAAAGATCAGTGTTTGACAGGGGTTCAAGGCCAAGAAGGTAAGCATAGGCAAAGCACATGGGATTTTAGGGTGTGGAAACGATTCTTATACTGTTAATGGTAGGAACATGAGTGGATGCATTTGTCTAACCCCATAGAACTGTGCAACATGAGAATGGTCCCTCAGGCGAATCATGGGATACAGTGAATGCAGAGTGTAGATGTTGGTCATCAGTTATAATACATGTACAGCATTAAAGTAAGAGGTTAGTAATGAAGGAAACTGTAGGGGAAAAGGGGTATATGAGAGCTCTCTGTACTATCTTCTCAATTTTTCTGTAAACCTGAAATTGCTCTAAAAATGTTTACTTTTAAAAAGTAGGATCCCTATATCCCGTGTGCACCATGGATTATCAGTCACTCTCCTAGGATTAATTTCAAATTAATTTTTTCTCAAATCTTGAGCTCAGTGCAAAAAGGAATGCTTTCCTATACTTTTGTTTCATTGAAATTTTTCCTGTGAATTAATTTTCCAATGATGTGCTTTCCACATGTATTCCTAATAAGTGATTTCCTTCATCTTTAATCTTTTATTTCTCATAAAAGTCTACCTAAAAGACTTGTTAGATTTGAAATATCACAACTAATTAACTGATTTTGATTAGAACTGGAAAAGAATAAACTAATTTTTACTTTCCATTTTTTACTTCCACCCATTTTCCTCTGTGATGTATCTCTGAAAGGGAGTTTCGGACCTTGGTAATTGAGATGGTGATGGCCACAGATATGTCCTGTCATTTTCAGCAAATCAAAGCAATGAAGACTGCTCTTCAACAGCCAGAAGCGTGAGTGAGCCTATAACCTCATGTGTTTTTATAGATGTTTGACCTCCTTCTTGTCCATGTCACTGTACCTTTAAAGTTTATCTCCTTTAATATAACTTTATTAAATGGTCTCATAAAGTAGTGATGCTTGGAGGAGAGCACATGGGAATATTACATATCATGGATATTTCTCATCAGGCTTAAAAAAAAAATAAGGCTAGTAACAATTTGCACTAATGAGAATTTAAAAGGTCCCTTCAATGCAGAGGCAACAAATAAAGGTCAGTGAGTGAGTCTTGGATTCTTGTTGTCTTTTTCATGATGGCAGATATTCCAGAAATGGTTTTGAGTCAGTTTTTGAGGTGTCCAGTTCAATAAACATGGAGACCATGCTGATAAATGTCCCAGTTGGAGGATGGAATGATGATTTCCCCCCAGTTCAGCAGCAGTGGGCTTTGAGATGGGAGGATGGAAGGGATTTTTTTAAAATAGTGGTATTTTAAAAACTCTTACTAAGATTTTGTGAGTTTGGTCATTATGTGTTTGGGACCTTTGGGTTTACAGAATTGAAAAGCCAAAAGCATTATCCTTGATGTTGCACACGGCAGACATCAGCCATCCAGCAAAAGCGTGGGAGCTCCACCATCGCTGGACCATGTCACTCCTGGAGGAGTTCTTTAGACAGGTACCTTGTTGCTTCTTTCCCCTCACTGGTGTCATCTGTGGGCGTAGCCTGACTTTTATATTTCAGCAGCACAGTAATCAGGACTTTTGTGATTACAATTATCTTCTTTTTGAAGGGATGGTTCACAGCTTTTATTTTTTGGCCTTCTGGTCATGTGATGTTTGACTCTCACCTACTTTCTGGTTCTCAGAATGTTATGGTACTCTATCCTATGCCTTTCTGTTTGGTGTGGGGGAAACATTTCCTTTTGGCAATCTTTTATCAAAATATCATCTGAGGTATGCTTTTACTTTTTTTTTCTAATTGGGTAACCAAATGGCAGTCACTGTAACCTGCTTCTCTGTTATAATTGGCTGGGCTGTTCCTTTCTAGCAGACAAACCCATGTTGTCCAATGCAAAGCCAGTTGGAACAATTTGAGTTCAGAAAATTATTTGAAGCTACTGTTCCAATTATATTTAAACTTACTATATCCTAAGACACAGGGTAGTGTTTTCTACAAGAAAAATCAGAGTCTTTAATGAGGATACCCTGCTTTATTTTTTTTTAAGCTGCATAGGAGTAGAGAAATAAAATGGTAAATAAATACATAGCACCAAGACTGCTGTCTTCTCAAACCCAGGCATGTGCAAAACTCGTCTCAAGAAGAGTTGCCATTTAAAATATCTGCTTTGAGAAGTGAAGTCCTGAGGTTCAAGGCAAAATGGCATCTAGATTGTGGGACCAGAACTACAGTTAATTCAAGTTCATATGGTTAATTCATTAGTTCTTGTTAATTTACTGAGAGAGGTTACAGTACAAATTCAGAGACCTCTGAAGTTCCGTAAAACATTACGTATTAGCCAGTCTCAACTTTGTCCCCTAAACTGACAAGAGATATACCCTTTCACCAGTTACTCAGATTTTTGGAAGCAAAGTATTCTTAGGATTACTCTCAGGATTCTCATTTGAATGTAGAAATTATAGAAGGCATTTCTGTGTTTGTTTCTTTCCTTCTGAAGCTGCACACAGTATTTGGTATTGAGGTAGGACTAAGTTAACTGTGCATTAAGCAAAGTTCAGAAGCCCCTTTATTGGAATTCTTATTCCAGCTGCCTGTGGCCTGGGACTAGTGAAATCACTGCTCTGGTTCCCAATGGTCTTATCTGTGACTTGTTTCGGGGGATATCATGGGATTTAAAGGAAGGTTGGGCCAGCCTTTTTCCTTAGAGTCCTCCCCACATTAAGTGTTTTCTTCATTCTGTCCAAGAGTGCACATTCTGTCCAACATTCTGTCCAACACATGTACACTTGTGTGCCCCCGCTAAGCTGTTCTGTGAGTATGCCAGCAGGTTCCTTATTCAGCACATGGCTGTCTCCTTACATGGTCAACATTTGGCCTCACAGAGTGGTTCTCAAGGGGAACCCAAGGGGTGAGAGGAACTAGCATTGCACAGGTGTGGCCATGTTGTATATACAAGAATGACTCCAAATTCAGTCTTAACTGAGGGTTAATTTTGAGCCATTTTTTCCAGAAATTACTTTTCTAATTGTAATTTCTACTTCCATTATCATATGCTTTTTTTGATCATTGCTTTTGTAATACACCCACTATAAACTAGGAATTTTAATCTGAAGCTAGAGGTAAATCATAGTTAACTCATAAATATGAGGTATTGAAGTGATTCCTTTTTTAATTGTGAGAGAGTGAATATGAGAAATTACTTAAACATGAACATTTTTCCCACTAAAGGAAACCTTATTTGCACAAACATAAGCTTGAATTGAAAGAAAATGTACCAGAGGCTATATGAAAATAACCATATTGAATTTCTTGCCAATTGGGAATGGAATGTTAGCTCACTGGACTGAAACTATGTTTTTTAGCAATTATGATTCAGTAAATTATTTTTATTGACTTAATATTTTAACCCAGATGCCATAAGCCATGGTAAGTAACCCTTGTAGGAGAAATGTTGCCTTAGCTCTTAACTATAGATTTAAAATTGGACAGTTCAAATGGGAAATCTCAATGGGACTGTAGAGTCTTTGAAAAAATTACATTTAGATGTTGGGTTATATTTCAAAATAAGGCCATAGCCTCAGTGCTGATAGACCAGACCTTCTATGCATTGCTGAAACAGTAAGTTACATCTTCAGTTTTATAACCATATTTTACAAAATGCAAGCCTCTGCCTCAGGTCTTTTTCAATGAAATACTGACTTTAAGAAACTGTGAGTTTGCCTTTTTGGTAAATACATCTTGAGAAACTCTGGAGATTCATTTCCTAAGTATTGCTGTATATTTTTATATTTTACAGACATCGCCTACAATTCTTTTAATTTCCTCTGTGTTTGTGGTTATTTTCCCATTTTTTGTTTATTTCATATACCAGTATCTTTTTTCTTCTGTATAAGGTTAGTTGATCATTTGAATATTTGATTGTTTCTTTTTTATTTTATGATATAAATTACTGCTTTCATTTTTATTAATTTATTTCTTCTGCTTGATTATTATTAATTCATTTCTTTTGCTAACTCCCCAAGTTGGATGTCCAGTTCATTTATTTTCATTCTGCCTGTTCAATATTAGTAAATATAAGGCTAGGGGTTTATCTTTTTGTCACTCATGAATCTTGTAGGTTCTGATATGCAGTGTATTCACAATCTTTCTTTATTAAATATTTTGTAATCTGGGTTTTGATTTTTCTTTACTAAGAGTTGCTTCAAATGGATGTGTTTGTTTATGTGATTTTCCCAGTGGTAGTTTCCTTTGCTTTCTACTTTTGTACTTGATTTGTGACTTATCAAAATTTGATCACAGTGGGGGGGGGTGGAGGGAAAAAAAATTTGATCACAGAATTTTTCATTGTTTGGGCCTTATTGTGAAGTTTGCTTTTCACCTACTAAAAAAATCAATATTTGTGAATGGTCATGGCTCTTGAAGTCAGTTTATCTTCTACTTGCAAAGTATAAAACACCAGGCATAGCCTCCTTATCAATTATGTCGTTTTAGGTATTTTATGTTATTTTTTTAAATGTGATGTTTCGTGAGCTGACAGGTGTTTCTATTATTATTTTCTGTTTCTATGTAGTATAGTTTTTGCTTCCTGAATGTTGATTCTGTGTTATTTGGTTCTTAGATATTCATAGTTGCTAGATTTTTATAGTTTGTTGAATCCTCTATCATTATAAAGCCTCCTTCTTTGTCTTATGTAATGCTTTTACCTAGAATTCAAATTCAGCTCATTTTAAGAACAGAATCTTGTCTTTTTACTTTAACCTTTTACTTTTAACTTTTTACCTAACCTTTCAGAGACACTTTGATTTGGATGTGTCTTTTAAACATTGCTTATAATTGAGGGGTTTTTTATGAGCCAATCTATCTTTTAGTATTTGAAATTAACCATATTAACATCTGTTGATATGACAGGAATCTTTGCTCTTAGGTACTATGATATTTTATATTATGATTTCTGTTTTGTGGCTGATTTTTAAATTGTTCACTATATTGGCTGTACCATCTGCTTATTATGTATTTATTTCTTCTGATGACTTGGAAGTTTTATATTATGTTTTTAGTTTTAATATTGGCTAACTTGGTAATGCAAAATTTTTTTTTTGGTAATGCAAATTTTATATCCTCTATTTATTTAGATAGTATCGATAAAAATTAGCAGGCTTCTACTTCCTCTTGCCTCTTCCCCAACAGCTAGTTGTATCAACTTGCTTAATTCTTGTAGTCTGTACCTTTGTCATTTAGATATAGCTCTATTCCTTTATGGGCTTCCCTTGTAGCTCAGAGGTTAAAGCATCTGCCTGCAATGCGGGAGACCTGGATTCAATCCCTGGGTCGGGAAGATCCCCTGGAGAAGGAAATGGCAACCCACTCCAGTATTCTTGCCTGGAGAATCCCATGGAGCCTGGTAGGCTACCGTCTATGGGGTCTCAAAGAGTCGGACACGACTGAGCGACTTCACTTTCACTATTCCTTTATATATATATATATCAGGTTTAAATGGTATATTTTCACCCCCATCTATACACATAAGAAAGCTACTGCTTATTCAGTACCTCCCAACACTTTTCCCCTTTTCCTTTCATAACATGACTAATTCCTTGTTACTGTTTGTTGGCTGTATTATTTCTAAATTCTGTTTTCTAAGTGAGCATTCTATCTCATGTACTATATGCTGTTTCCAAAATATACACCAAAAACAGTGTGACCCAGAAAGATGGAAAATAAACAAGTTGGACAAAAGCATAATTTTTCCAGTTGTTCTTGTCTTGGCTCTACTCAGTGCTGGCACTTTGGCCATGGTTGGTTCATTCATCTATTGGTTGGTCAAAGTTGTTCCTTGAGTGGTGTCTTCTAGGAATGCTAAAAGCCACATTTCTGTGTGTTTGCAAGTTTTTCTACTGCTTTTATACTTGGGTCACAGTTTGCTTGGGTAAGACATTTTTTGAATCAAATTTCCTTTCCCTGAGGTCTTTTTTGATTTGATTGATGCTTTTGAACTATGGTGTTGTGGAAGACTCTTGAGAGTCCCTTGGACTGCAGGGAGATCCAACCAGTCCATCCTAAAGGAAATCAGTCCTGAATATTCACTGGAAGGACTGATGCTGAAGCTGAAACTCCAATACTTTGGCCACCTGATGTGAAGAGCTGACTCATTGGGAAAGACCCTGATGCTGGGAAAGATTGAGGGCAGGAGGAGAAGGGGACGACAGAGGATGATATGGTTGGATGGCATCACCAACTCAATGGACATGACTTTGAGTAAACTCTGGGAGTTGGCGATGGAGAGGGAGGCCTGGTGTGCTGCAGTCCATGGGGTTGCAAAGAGTCAGACATGACTGAGTGACTGAACTGAACTGAGCTGAGGTCTTTTTTAGATTTTGTTCAAATGACTTCCACCTAAGAATGTTGCTATGCAGAGGTTGGAGGCCATGCTAGAATTATTTTCATGTCTAGGTGGTATGTATTTTTGCTTATGTGCCCTAAGAATTTTTTCTTTACCTTTGAAGCCCAGTGACATTACTAGGCTATATTTCAATAATGATTGCTCTATAATGGTTTTTCTTGGGGCCTGGTGCGTTCCTTTTCTGTATCAATTCAAGTTCCATTGATGAAATCTTTAACGATTTTCCTTTTCCATTTGCTTCCTTCTTTAGGAAAAACAGTTATTTGTATGTTGCCCCTCTTGTTTTTCTTCTCTGTTATTTTCCTTTAAATTGTCTTATAACTCTCTGATGAATGGTATTTTTTTCATTCCTGAATTCCATGTCTCTTAATGTGTTTTTATCAAAAATAACTCTCCTTCATGCTGCCTCCACTACAATCTTCATTTATGTGGTGGTTCTGTTTTTCTTTTCCATATCTTCCCTGAGCTCTGCTAGTTCCTGTTTCCCTGAGCCCTGGTTCTTAATAATTTTAGGAATTTTTTTCCCATAATGGAGTATGTATGTTTGGTCATCACTTGGTGGCACTGTTTTTTTTCTGATGAATGTTCCCTGTTATTTTTATTTTTCTGTTTCTTTTTCCATTTTTTCTTTTCATGTAAAGTATCTTTCTATAGGTTTTTTTTTTTTTTTTTCCTCCTGGTATTGGTATAGTGCTACCTCTTCCTCCTCCTTCCCTTCCTCTTCCACTTCCATCTCCTCTTCCTCTGCCCTTCCTTCCCCTTCTCCTTCCTTTGATTATTATTTACCATCTTTGAGTAAAATGCATTATTTTTTGAGCAACTATTTTCAGGAGATAAGTGCCAGGGAGAAACTGGAATAGCAGTGTTCTAAGCGGCATGATTTATTATGAGGTTTCTATGACATGGTGTGTGTGCGTGTGTGTTAGCCTTTACTTCTTCCTGTTCAGCAGTAGGCAACAGCTGTAGGACTGCTCGTGGTACAGTCTCTGTTATCCATACACTCTTGTCATGCTTGTATATCTTCTCATTCAGCATTTTCTTCTTTACTATTTCTTGAAGCTAAATAGGGTTCAGGGTAGCTCTTCACATCAGTGTCTGCTGTCTCTCTGGTTTTCCCACATGATGGATATAGGGTATTTTTCCTATCTGAGTGAATTTTGAAAACCTCTATTCTTCAAGCTTTATCTGACATCTGCAGCCATAGGCCTTTTCTCTGGGCATCTTACATCACCCCTCCAGGATATTCACAGCATTTGACAGTTGTTCCTCACATGGTTTTGATCGAGTTTACAGATTTCTCCTGCTATTTGTTTGTGTTTATGTTGTTTCTTGTTCTGTTTTAAGAGGATAATTTCTGAGAGGGGGAGGCAAAGATGTCTTACTTAATTTGCTCATACCTCATATTGGTAACTTCTTCCCTGTGAAAGATGAGTATATACTGCTGCATTTTGTTCAACTTGATGCTTTTGTTGTCCCCCCAGTTAATTACCTTTTCTCCTCTCTACTGGGAAACACTCTCTTGTGATATCACCCAGTGATCTTTTGAAGCTCTTGTGTTGAGAGATGCAATCTGCCCTGTAAAGTTCCAATACAGAAAGAACCTTTGTTTTTCTTGCTTGGTTTGCTGCTTACAGATAGCTGCTGTAACAAACAAACCCCCAAATGTAAAACAGCACACAGAAAATGAAACTTTATCACCAACTCATGTAAAGTACCAGCAAGTGTTTCTTGTTTGGCAGATGGTTTACAATAAGCAGTACTTTTAGATCCAGACTCTACCATCTACATGGCTTCCATGGTGCTTATCTACATCAAGGCAGCAGAAGGAAGGACATAAAGACATAGGCATGGGAGATTTTGTAGGCCAGAACTGTGGTACAAATATACCCTCTCTCCTCTTATTTTATTGTCTAACACAAACTGGCAGAGATTCTGGACAGTGTAGTCTAGCTGTGTGGACAGGAAATAAGGGGAGGTTGTGAACAGTTAACTGCCTAATTGCTCCATCAGCTTGCTTATCACAGATGTCCAAGTGGCCAAAGGGACTTGAGTATTTCTAACCAAATTCACCTTTTTATTCATGAATCAGGCATTCATTGCGTTCCTTTTGTAGACAGCTTATGTAGATTGCTTAAGTCAGCTGTCTTAACCCCTCCCACAAGAATGAAAGTTATTTATATTTGTGCGCTGTCCTGAAAAAAAAAAAAATCCTTTGTGCCACCTGAGACTATTGCCCTTTTTTTGGGAGAACATTGATCTCTTTAACGAAGAGGAAAGTGAATGAATAATTCCACAAGGGCCAACAGTCGTGGAGTCATACAATATTGTATTAGTCAAGCTAGATTTGCCTGTAGAAGTACATTCTTCTGTATTAATTTCTGTGTATTTTTTCCAGTTTATAAATGTATGTGTCCTCCAGAGGGAATTCAGAGGTCACTATCTTAAAATAGGTTTATAGAAATTAGTAGTTATTTAAATGGCAAAGGATGTAAGTGATATGGGTATGGGCAAGTCCGTAGGCTAAGTTGCTTAATGATGTTTAGACTTTTCAGAAATAAAATTCAAATGAATGCTTATGTCTTAGTAGTCAAGCAGTTAGTGTTCTTTTGAGCTACCCCCACTAAAAAGCTTCAAAGGGGATAAGAGTGAGTTTTATTTGTGTTGGCTGAGTTAGCCCAGTGAACCATCTGCACAACTGCATTTATGTTATAAATACTCTTCCTTCTCATCATATTGCCCAAATAGAAATAGCTTTGGAATAAGTTCTTTTTATCATGCTACTTGAGCGATAAAGCACCCTCAGCAAGGCATACTTGGAAACAGAAGGACCATTGTGTCCTATGGTTTGTTAATACAGGAAAGGGTACAGAACTAAGCCACTTCAGGACTGTTCCTGAGACCCTTGGATGTCCCAGCACCCACTGTGAGCCCCACTATTCAGCTTCCTCAGATGCCCATTCCTTTTCCTTCTTTTCAATAGATCTTAAGTGTGAGTGTTAGTTAGCTCCTTTCTCTTTGCTAATATGTCTTAGAAAGAAAAAACATTCAGGTTTTGAATTAGACCTGGTTGTTGAACTAGCTTGTTATTACTCTTTATTTACCATTAGTTCATTGGTGATATTTATTATAGTCAGAGTGTAACAGTTAGATGTAATAAGTTCAATAAATGTTTCTCAGGTCTTCACTTAGTAGAAATATCTATCGAGAAATAATACTTGTTCTTTGACTTTAGTTGTATACATTTTCTCATGTAGTTGTCATTGTTATTGATGACATAGGGATTATTATCCCACGTTTTATAGGTGACAAAACTGAAATATAGAGGGGGAAAAATACACTTGCTGTGATCAAGTGGTGGGAGCAAGGCCAGGTTCAAGCTAAAGTCAGTAACCATTAACATCAGCAGATTCTTTTCTTGTGAATTGAATAAACACAACTTTGTGGCTGTCAGAGGCATGACCCACTTTCCCTTTCCTGTGGATGTGTGACTGAAGTATTGAGCTCTGGGTCAGAGCTGTTCTTTAAAATCATCTCCATCATTAATTAGACTTTCCATAGCACTTGCTTGTTATAGTCTTGCCTTTTGGTGAGATTGAGAACATATTGGCCAGAGAATCATGTTTTATTATTGTCTAACTTGATAAACAGAAGCAATTATTTACTCTACTACTTTTTTGTTCCACTTTTCATCATCACTGAGCCCTGCAGGGAAGGCCCCAGAAGCACTTAATTCCAGTTGTGTATGGCTTTAGGTAGCATTCGGAGAATGATTCTGAATCAGTCAAGTTAGAACTGGTGTCTCAGACACTATCCACAACTGGAGGGGTCTGCAGGCTCAAGAAAGGCTACAGGTAGGCACAGTATGACTGGAGAACACATAAGAATTCTGACTGCTGTGCTGGCTTTTGGCCACAGGATGTGTTGCTTTGCTTATTTTCCTTATTGCTGCCTGATGAGGCTTTCTATACAACAGCATGCACTTTTGCAGTTGGATGGAATGATTGGACGCTGGAGAGCTTCAGCCTCTTGATGTCTTTTATGCAGAAGAGGCAGGACTTACTACATAATGTAATTGTAATAATGAAAAGAAAGACCAGTGGCCTTCGTGGCAGCTGAAGGTGGCTCAGCCTTCTGTTCTTAATTTACTTTGACCTCCTGTTTTTCTAGGGCGATAGAGAAGCAGAGCTGGGTCTGCCTTTTTCTCCTTTGTGTGATCGGAAGTCCACCATGGTTGCCCAGTCACAAGTAGGTACGTGTTTGCCAATCCGTTGATGGAGAGAAAAACTGGAGAAGGGTGTCTAGAAGTAAGCTCAGATGCTCCTCATGATTCTTCAGCTAGAACCTGGCTCCCTTCTGCTGCTGTACTCGTGGCTTTGGCTAGTTGGGGTGATGAAGCCACTGTCCCCATCCTCCTTCCTGGAGTGTGACTGGTTCCTGGGAAGATTAGACAGTGACACTGCTATCTCCATCACTCCCTGACAAGAGAAAAAGGGGCTTCAGTCCTAAGGCAATGACAGGAATTAGTGGTGGGAAGCCCATTCTGTTTCAGTCTCACCATTCTGCATGCAGTACCAAGAGTTTTCTCAGTGATGCTTTCTCTAGCCCACTTTCCAAGACAGCACCATTTCCTAGATGACCTTACTGCCAGGAACGGCTCTTTTAAAATATCTCTTTCCTTTCTGCCTGCCTTCTTTCCTTCCTTCCTTTCTTTAAAAAAAAATGGCATCTTTTTTTTGGGTAAAGAATACTTTTGCACTGCTAATAACTGTAATATATGTGAATTATTATTATTTCATTATCATAATACTGTTGCTACTTTTATAGGACAACTTTTGTCTTGCCAATTTCATTACAGAATTTTTTATCATCCTTCACTTCTGTGATGTGAATGCCAGCATTTCTATCTTGGTCATTGTAAAAGCCAAGTAAGCATTTGTATATTTTCACACACAGTATCTCCTTTGATTGGTATTTAGTTTCCTTCCAACTTTCATGTCACTGTGTAATAATGAGTTACCACCCTTAGTCCCAGATCATATATTTTCTCCTGACGAGTCAGCAGACACTTTGGTATTTTTGAGTTGTTGAGATGATCACTCCAGCCCAACATCAACTATCTCTCCAACATGTGATCTCTCAAAGGTGACATTTCCAGATCTGACCCCTCTCCTAGCTTCCAGCCCTGTTGGCCCTCTTCCATCCAAATATGGCCCTGATACTTTGAGTCAGCAGATCTAAGATGAAGTCCACCATCTTTCTCCCAGGTCACACCCTCCCCTGTTATCTCTGTTCTCTCTGCCTTCCTGGTGGAAGTCTCTGACAGATTCCATCTATAGGTAGGACCACCTACTGCTGTGCACATATCCATGCCTCCATCACACATCCACCTTAAAATGGCACTGGATCTCACCTCTCTTACTTTGTCTTTGAGATTTGTGAAGTGAAGCTTCTAAAATGATTTTCCCAGTGTCAGCCTCCATTGCTTTCTCCCACCCCATCCATCTTGCCAGATTAACTTTCCCAAATAACAGCAGAAAACATCTTAGTACAATGCTGCCCAAACATCTTAAGGGGCATCTAGTGCCTGTCTAAGTCCTAAGCTCTAGCTTGGTACTTTGGAACCTCCTTCCCTGAACAGATCATGACCCTTCCCAGGCTTTCCCTTTCTGATTCTAAAAGAATTCCTAAGTTCGAGTCATTCCCCAGACACATCCTGCACTTTTCCCTGTCCTGTCACCTTGCTTATTTCACCCCCTCCACCTAGAATGAATAGCCTTAGGGCTCAACTCAAATATCACAACCTCCATAATGCTGTTTGCAACTCTCACAGTGGGAAGGAAAATACCCTCCCTCCCTTACCTTCCTAGGGGCCTTTCTTTGGGCTTCTCCTTTGGCCCTTTCCATTTTTATGCTCACTGAATTTTCCTGTAAACTTTCAAGGGCAGGCAGGTTGTGTTACAACTTACATCACAGTGTTTTTTACATAGTAGATATTGAATTTGCATTTTTAAGCATTTTATTGAACTATCTACTAAAACGTTAAAGGAAAGCTATGTAGGAGAAATGGATCTGACTCATATGATAGTCAAAGTAAGCAATGTATTAAATGATTACGACCAACCTAAGCTCTCCTAATCTGATTTGGCACTCCTATGTAGATGAATTTTAAAAGAAAGCTACAACTCATCAGTTTGCATGGGAACATTGGAAAGGCCCCAGTTACTATGTAGTTCCTCTGAAACTTTGCTGTTTCTCTCCAGGTTTCATTGATTTCATTGTGGAACCCACCTTCACTGTGCTCACAGACATGACAGAAAAGATCGTGAGTCCATTCATTGATGAACCCTCTCAAAGTGGGGGCACCGGGCAGAGGCGTTCAAGGTCAGTACTGAAGCTTGAAAGCTGGGGGGTCAGGGTGGTCTGTGCATGGGGACAGACTTCTTCTGGAAGGGATGGGGGTGGTACTTCTTAATCATGTTCACCCTACCTCCTCCTCATGACACGTGTCTGCTTCTTCCTTTGTGTCAGAGGAGTCAAAGGTGTACACTCTGTATTCTCTAGGCTGGCTTGTAAGTGGGTGATCAAGGTCCAGGTTATGACATACAGGTTCCCAGTACTGCCCCCAGCCTGACCCCATCCGTTCTCTCTTTTGGTGGCTTTGCCCACAACATCGTCAGTCACTGCACTTTACCTGCTGTACCCAGAGAGTCCTGGCTCCCCGTACTCCAAAAGGAAAGAACCATGGATCAGAGTTATCATATTAAGTGAAACTTTCTTTTCTAGGTTCAGGAAGAAAATTAAGTAGTGGGGAAAAAGAGCTGAACTTTTTTTTTTCCCATTTATTTTTATTAGTTGGAGGCTAATTACTTTACAATATTGTAGTGGTTTTTGTCATACATTGACATGAATCAGCCATGGAGTTACATGTATTCCCCATCCCAATCCCCCCTCCCACCTCCCTCTCTATCTGATCCCTCTGGGTCTTCCCAGTGCACCAGGCCCGAGCACTTGTCTCATGCATCCAACCTGGGCTGGTGATCTGTTTCACCCTAGATGATATACATGTTTCAATGCTGTTCTCTCGAAACATCCCACCCTCGCCTTCTCCCACAGAGTCCAGAAGTCTGTTCTGTACATCTGTGTCTCTTCTTCTGTTTTGCATATAGGGTTATCATTACCATCTTTCTAAATTCCATATATATGTGTTAGTATACTGTAATGGTCTTTATCTTTCTGGCTTACTTCGCTCTGTATAATGGGCTCCAGTTTCATCCATCTCATTAGAACTGATTCAAATGAATTCTTTTTAACGGCTGAGTAATATTCCATGGTGTATATGTACCACAGCTTTCTTATCCATTCGTCTGCTGATGGGCATCTAGGTTGCTTCCATGTCCTGGCTATTATAAACAGTGCTGCGATGAACATTGGGGTGCACGTGTCTCTTTCAGATCTGGTTTCCTCGGTGTGTATGCCCAGACGTGGGATTGCTGGGTCATATGGCAGTTCTATTTCCAGTTTTTTAAGAAATCTCCACACTGTTCTCCATAGTGGCTGTACTAGTTTGCATTCCCACCAACAGAGCTGAACTTTTAAATCACCTTCTGCCACAATATCATTCCATTCATCCATCTGACTGTAGTTGAGTCCGACACTGTCCCGCAGGCAGTCTTGGTGGCGACATCGTGAAGCGCTGGTGCCAAAGAAGTCTGGCACTTTGCGCCTCATTCTGTGTGTTGTGTGTGTCGCTCAGTCGTGTCCGACTCTTTCCGACCCCGTGGACTGTAGCCCACCAGGCCCCTCTGTCCACGGGATTCTCCAGGCAAGATACTGGGGCGGGTTGCCATTTCCTTCTCCATCAGCATCATTAAACGGAGTCAAAGTGAACAGCCTCTGGAGTCATATGGCCGCTTAAACATCCTGACTCCATTCCTAATTAACTGTACCATCTCAGGCAAGTTGCCTGAGTTTCCCCATTTGTGAAAATGTGGATTATAAAACTCATAGGTTGCAGGGAGGATTAAGTGAATTATTTAATCTATGTAAAGCCTATATATATATATATATATCATATATATATATATATATGATAGCTCAGTTGATAAAGAAGCCACCTGCAATGCAGGAGACCATGGTTCAATCCCTTGGTTGGAATGATACCCTAGAGAAGGGAGGGGCTACCCACTCCAGTATTCTGGCCTAGAGGATTCCATGGACTGTATAGGCCATGGGGTTGAAAAGATTCCGACAAGATTGAGCAACTTTCACTTTCGCCTTCACTTTCACTTTCAAAGCCTTTATAACAGGGTCCAGCACAGAGGAAGTGGCAGCTACAATAATGCTAACGCTCAGTGTTCACTAGTATTAAATGGTTGGTATTACCACTAGTACTGCTGTCCCCTCCTCCTCATCCATCAAAACCTTGGGCCCTGTTATAAAGGAGAGAAATAGAATGAAGAAGAAAAAGAATAGAAGAGCAATGAGAGGAAGAAGGACAAGGAGATTAGGACAGAGGGAACCCAGGAATGCTTAAGGTGAAGGGACCTAGTCAAGGCTGCTGACAAGGAGGACAGAAGCCCCCTGCCTGAGTCCCACACCCCCACAACTCTGCCAGCACTGGGCTGAGATCTGCTCTACTTATCTAGTTAGTCTTGATTATCATTCAGTGGATTTGTATTTGTGCCAGTCATGACTGGAATTCCCTGGAAATGTGTGATACTTTAGGCACTGTGGTCACCCAAATGGGAAGGGAACCCAAAAAAGAGGGGATATATGTGTACATATAGCTGATTCACTTTGCTGTACAGTAGAAACCCAACATTGTAAAGCAGCTGTATGCCAATAAAAATTAATTTAAACTAAGTACACCTTCAGAAAAGTAAAGTTTCCCAGAAGGATGGCACTTCGATATTTTATATATATATATATCTGTATTTCCTAAAGTTGCCTCTGTTTAAAGCTTCAAGTGGTATTATATATTTTTGTAATTGTATTTATTTGTTTATTTTTGGCTGTTTGGGTCTTTGTTGCTGAATGGACCTTCTCTAGTTGCAGTGAGCAGGGGCTGCTCTTTCTTGCAATGCATGGGCTTCTTATTGCAGTGGCTTCTCTTGTTGCAGAGCGCGGGCTCTAGGGCACTTGGGCTTTGGTAGTTGCGCCTCAGGACTCAGTAGTTGCCATTCCCAGACTGCAGAGCACAGGCGCAATAAGTTGTGGCACACAGGCTTAGTTGCCCCGAGGCATGTGGGATCTTCCCGGACCAGAGGTCAAACCCATGGTTCCTGCATTGGCAGGCGAATTCTTTACCACTGAGCCACCAAGGAAACCCCTCCAGTGGTATTACATTAAAAGACAAGTCTTATGCATGACTGATCTCTCACAATCTCCATGCCTCTCTGCCTTCCCCCAGGTACATGAGAAAGTCCGCTTATTCTAGCCTTGGGTATCCTGGGGTCAGAGTTTCTTTAGTCCAGGAGGAGGTGGAGCTAGAGAGAAAGAGAACAAGTGACTAAGTAACTTGGAGATGTGGTCAGTGTGAAGGAAGGTAGACAAACTGGAACCAAATGGAAGTCAAGTTTAAATGGGTTAATTTCAGGAAGTCAAAGACAAAACTCATGTGTGGGGAACCTAGTCATATGGAAAAAGAACATTTGAAATATGGGGACCTTTGGGACTATCAATACACGTGAGACTGAAACCTTGACTATTTTTTCCTGCTGAAAATGGAGAATTTCCTAGCTGTTGCATATCGAAAATAGAAATGACAAATCTCAGGTCCCAGGAATTTCACAACAGTAACTTGATACGTGTTCACTACACTTCTCTTAGGCTTGCTTATCAGCACACATTTTCAAACTCTAACCCTCTCTTTGGTATTTTTTTTTTTCATCCTCCAGTTTGAACAACATCAGTTCAACAGATGTAAAGCGATCAGGTGTCAAGAGCTCTGGCTCAGAAGGAAGTGCCCCAATCAACAACTCTGTCATCCCTGTTGACTATAAGAGCTTTAAAGCCACTTGGACTGAGGTGGTACACATTAACCGGGAGAGATGGAGGGCCAAGGTGCCCAAAGGTAAGGTGCTGATGGGGAATCTTGTTCATACCACTCAGACGCACTCACAAAGCAAGACATTGCCACCCCTGATTTAGAAGTGCTGAAAATGAAGCACAAACTCAAGGTATATATTCAAATTGCCGAATGTTAGGAGAGACCATCTTTTGCTCTTTATTATATCTAATACTTAGTGCATGAGAGGATGAGGCTGACTTCCAAGTCACCTGATGGAATGACCTTTGTGCTATATGTCCAGATACTTCTCAAAATGAAGATTGTATAGAGGACAGGTGTTCCTCCTGTTTCTTGGTTTCTGCTAGGCCATTTTGTCATTCTTGTTTTATGATATGTGGCACATTTATCAGGCCTTTACTCCTTCTTCTATCTACTTCGGCTATTACATTGGGATAGAAAAAGCTTTAATCTCCTTACATGCATTTTTATCTTCATGTTCTCAGTTTCCCTTCAGTCATTACTCAGGCTGACCTGAGATGAAGGTAACTCACAGGTAAACCGAAATTCAAAGACAGAAAAGTCATCACTCTTGGTACTATGAACAAAAAAGACTGAAATCTCTTTGTTTTTTGAAAGTCAGAATTCATTTGCATGTTTGTGTTTACCGAGCATGTGCTCCATGATTCGTACATATGACATGTTTATACTGTAGTCTAAGTAGGAACACATAGCTGTGGTAAGTCTCATGAAGCTATGGTGCCTGATTCTAGAGACAATTCTAGAGTGGATGATTCTAAAGTTCTAGAGTCAGGAGGCTAATCTCAGTGGTTTTTGTGGAGGTACACCTTCAACAGCAGTCAGTTTTTGCCAACATCTGTTGCATGCCTACGGTATGCCAAGCTCTGTACCGTGTGTTATTCACCGAGGTGAGTATCAGGCATCCTTGCCCTCAAAGCTCGAATTCTCCTGGGTGGGGACAGGCGGGCATTAGCACAGAATTTCTTTCAAAGTAGGAATGGGAGTTCAGTGGAAGCTTTGTACTCCTTACCAGCACCCACTGACCTTGAGCCCCAGACTTTTATAACAGGCAAGCAAAGTTTTATCCCCTGTCATAGCATTCCACACTTTTATATACCCAGTGTCTACCCCAGGGAGAAGGGTAGGAGTAGGTCTTGTTCCTCAGATATCGGGGGCACTGCTTCCAGTGTTGAGAGAGAAGAGACAAGATCACACTGCTGGAGTTATTCAAAGGCCAACACTGTGTCCAGTTCAAGTGGCTTCTCAGTTCGGGTGGGGCCAAGTGTTTATATTTACAATTCTTTTAAGGCATAGTTGGGTCCTTATCATTTGGGGATGTCCTGAGCTATGGAGAAGAAGCCAGCTCTTCTTCGATATTTTAAGTGTGGCCTCTCACAGTCTATTAGGATACTTTAAACATTGAAATCCTCCCAGTTTTTAGGCTTAGCAACCAGCAATGGCAGCTACTGCATCATTTTGAGAAAGCAATCTCTTATAATCAATTACACTCATTACACTTGAAAATTCAACTCCTGACAACGTGCAATTGAAAGTGGTATTTCAAAATAATTTGTTTGCAATTATCTGGCTTACTAAAATTACCTTCTGAAACTAATCACCTGGGGGAGCATTAGACAGTTTCTTTTCTAGAAGAAAATTGGTCCTTTAAAAAGAACAGGTAAGTAACACTGGAAAAGAAGTGAAAATGTTTGTTGCTCAGTCGTGTCTGACTCTTTGTGACCCCATGACCCCATTGACCCTGCCAGGCTCCTCTGTCCTTGGGATTCTCCAGGCAAAAATACTGGAGTGTGTAGCCATTCCTACTCCAGGGGATCTTCCTGACCCAGGGATCGAACCCAGGTCTCTTGTGTACAGGCAGATTCTTTAACATCTAAACCACCAGGGAAGCCCAAAATTAACACTAATATTTAAAATATGTGAGGCATGCTAATAGAGATAAGCTTGTCCCTAGCCTGGTTGAGGTGTTTGGGAAGGCTTCTTGTGTCTAACTAGGATTTGAAAGATATCTGGGGTTGAATGAAGTAGGGAACAACGCAAAAGAGGTTGACAAAGGCACCGCCCCCAGGGTTTATATATGTTTTTGTAGGAGGACAGTTTGGGTATCAAAGCAAAAGTTCATTGGGAAAAGGGGGAATTGAATCCCTACTTGCCCTGTGCTCTTTGGCAAATCCAGGCAGATTCTTTGAGAAAATTCCCTTTGGGTGCAAAGAACAGAAATTATATAAGTAAAGAATGAGAACTGAGCCTGCACCTGGTTAGTGCCTGATAAGTGGTTGCTCTTATTTTGAAAAATTGGAAAAGAAAGTTTAAATGCAAAGTTAAGAAGGTGGTGGTCAAAATGCCAGTGTATAATTAATATGTTATAACATTTTCTGCCTCCCAATAATGCTGTTGATTGGTTGGCTGGTGTAAGAAATTCAGTTTGCATCTGTTTTCCTGTTGGTGATTGGTTTGTGCTGCACTATCCCAGAATGTTTTGTTCATGATTCTTTTTTACCAGAAAATCCTGATTTCAGCAAAGGCTGCCCTGCATTGGGGCACTTGAGTGTATGTTGTTATTAAATTGATCAGAAATGGAATTAAATCTAAGGCTTTAGTTTTTTTTATCAACCTATCCAGCTAGGCCAGAACACATAGTTGTTAGGAAAGATTGAATCAATATATATATATATATTTTTACAGCTCTTAGGACTGAAGCTCATTATTCCCATGCAAAGATATGTAGGCATAACAATTTGCAAGTCTTATCAGTATTGATCAGTTTCCATTCAGAATTTAATACTTTTTAAACATGTTTTTCTGGTGTAAGAATAATAGGTGTCTAGGTTACAATGCTGAAATATAAACAAAATATACAAAGAAGAAAATAAAAGTCACTCATTCCAGCGAAATGTAACTATTGTTGAAATTCTGATGTAGTTTTTCAAAGTTTGATTTCCTATACACCGTGCTCATGCTCTGTTGCGCAGTCTTAGCCAATCCTTTGTGACCCCTGCCAGGCTGTAGCCTGCCAAGCTCCTCTGTCCATGGGATTTTCCAGGCAAGAATACTGGAGTGAGTTGCAATTTTCTCCTCCAGAGGATCTTCTGACCCAGAGATTGAACCTGCATCTCCTGCATTGGCAGGCAGATTCTTTACCACTGAGCCATCTGGGAAGCCCCCTTTTATACATATATATAAGTAAATATTTTCCCTTAAATTGAGATCATAGTATAATATTGTATTTTCCTTCTCTGTTTCTGTTTTGAAGATTTTATTCTTATACTGAATATTCTTAGAAAGTGTGATTTACATGGCTACTGTATGTAATACCATAGTTGAACCATTCCTTTGTTACTGAGCACGGTAGTTTCCAATTCTTCATTATTGTATATAACATTGTTATTAACATCCAAATTCAGAAATCTTGAGCCTCCATCTGATCATTTATCTAGAATAAATTTCCAAATATTGAATTTCTCTGTCGAAGTAGGTGAAAAATTCTAAAGCTCTTGATATATGTTATCAAATTTCTGGAAAGTGTTTTTTTTTAAACTATGTGTTCTCCTTCAGTAGAAGTGTAGTGAGAGTGCCATTTCTTTATATTTTTTCCCATTATTTTACTCTTGAGGATGTTTACATTTTTATTATTGATTCATAATAACTCTTTATATATTAAGGATAGCAATTTTTCAGTTGACAAACTGTCTTGCAATTTCTATCCTACCTCCATCCAGTTAGTCAGTCAGTTTGTCCTATGTCTTTTAACTTTGCTTATTGTTTTTCAAAATACATCTTATTTGTATTTTTCCAGAGATTAGCTTTGTATTTTTATTGAATTATGTCTCTGTCAATGTAAATATGAAATAGTATATAATGATACTCCTTTACAAATGCTGAGAAGTTTATTGAATTTTTCAAAATTTCCTCCATTGTCACTCAGTTTTTATTGAAATAATGTAAGATATTCAACCTGAGTGATTATAAATAAATTGTAAGTAAATTGCTATTTTATAATTCCTTGGTGGTTCAGATGGTAAAGGATCTGCCTGTAGTACAGGAGACCCGAGTTCAGTCTTGGGTTGGAAAGATCCCCTGGAGAAGGGAATGGCAACCCACTCAAGTATTCTTGCCTGGAGAATCCCATGGACAGAGGAGCCTGGCAGGCTACAGCCCATGGGGTCATGAAGAGTTGGACACAACTGAGCATGTCATAAGGAGTTATAATTAACTTATCCTTTAATATTTTTTAAATAATTGCATCAAGTTTTATATCCAACTTAACAGTTATTTTTATTTAACACTATGATTTACTAGTATTTTGCACATCATTACCATATTTTCCTCATTCTGAATTTTTAATGTTGACTGAATTTTTCTGTCAGCTGAAGCACTTTGGTTAAAAATTTTAGAAAGGTACCATGGAAACATCTTTTGAGTCCTGAAGTGGCTAGGAGTACCTTTATGTTGTACTTACATATTATAAAAAGTTGACTATTCAAAACTAATCTAGTATGTTGGTTGTCCTTTTTAAGTTAGTCTCTCTCCTTTTCTTTCTTTCTTTCTCTGCAGGTATTTTAGGTAGGCATTTCAGAGAATTATATTAAGAGATAATTAGCCCAATACCACTTTTAAGCAAAAGCCTATAGTATCATAATTTAGAAAAGCAAGTAAAATGAAGAAATCAATGTATTTCTCAAAGACTGCACAGACTTTCAATGTGGGATAGAATTAGCTCTCAGGAGGAACAAATTAATAATTTATGGATCATGAGGGTTCTGTGCTGCCTTAACTCTTAAGCTCCTTGTTTTTGGCCATTTTCATAATGATCACATCACCATACATAGTGTGAACTGAAAGGCAGAAGGAAATGAGATTGAACTACAGCATTTGCTTTCTACTAGTCTAGAAGCCTAGGATGTTAAATCTAAACCCCCAAAAGTTCATTTGACATATATGCAAAAGTTCTTTGCATATATGTCATCTCTGGAACCTGTTATCATATACAAATTAATTGTTCTATCACCTGCTTTGTCTCATAGTAGAAAAGATTTAATATATATTAATACCTCACCCTGAAAATATAAGGGGATCAGATTACAGCGGAACAGATGTATCTCCTGTAAGTTTATTTTTTCTTTTCTTATATATGTGTTTACTTGTTTTTGTCTACTTATTTGGAGTAGTAGCACTGAATGCTGATGGCTGATCCCATCAGCGTCAGATATTTCAGAGGTGTGAGGGGGAGATGGGAGTAGAGTAAGGCTGAGGACCATTTCAGAGCCATCCACTGGAACACAGTTGATGCAGGGAGAGGAACCGTATCAGATCTGATTATGATGTCATAAAAGCTACCATTCATTAAGTTGAACATTAATTGCCTGTTGTCAGCTATGCTGCTGCTGCTGCTGCTAAGTCACTTCAGTCGTGTCCGACTCTGTGCGACCCCACAGATGGCAGCCCACCAGGCTCCCCCGTCCCTGGGATTCTCTAGGCGAGAACACTGGAATGGGTTGCCATTTCCTTCTCCAATGCGTGAAAGTGAAAAGTGAAAGTGAAGTCGCTCAGTCGTGTCCGACTCTCAGCGACCCCGTGGACTGCAGCCCACCAGGCTCCTCTGCCCATGGGATTTTCCAGGCAAGAGTACTGGAGTGGGGTGCCATTGCCTTCTCCAGTTGTCAGCTGTAGTTAAACCCAAACAGACTTGTTTCTGAAATGTACCACCCCCAGTTTTGTGGGTTTTTTTTTTTTTTGCTAGATTTTCCATAGAAAATTGGTCTGACTCAGTTGTCAAATGAATTTTTATTGCTCAGATAATATGTTGTGCTCTTGTAGCAAACCAAAATTTAATGCCTTTGGCTTTTATCAAAATTACTTTTAACTTGGGGATATTCTGAGTGTTCAAAGTTTGCCACAGATTCAGAGGGGATTCTGTGAGGGGATTATACATTATTTTACCTGATGCCTGAGTATAAATGAATTCTCTTCCCCCTTGCCCCACTTTCCCTCTCTGTATAGTAAGTACAGTCCTCTTTTTCTTACCTACAGTCAGGTACAGTCAAATGGCTAATTCTTTCAGGACAGGATTTCAGAGTGTGTATAGTTTCTGTATTTTATACTGACCTGGATTGCTGATGATGGAATCAAGTCAGGTTCATAGGCAGACAGGGTGAATCATACCCATTGTGTACATTTCATGTAGAGATCAAGTACTTCATGAGCATCTGCTAGGTGACAGACATTATACCAAGCACTGGGTGTTCAGTGATGGAGGTGGCATTTGTCCTGTGTTCTTGGGATACTACAGAAGCATGAGAGGAAGTCTGGATGAACATGAGAGGAGCCATTTTGGGCCTGAGCCTACTGAGAATGCCATCTCCGTGTCTTCTTCTGCAAGGGTATTCTTTTACTCTTTAGTGGCACCTTTCTGTAGAAATCAGAAGACCTACCATATATGCACATAATTATGTGATTTTGTAAAGAAATCTTTCCTTACCTTTTTAAAGACAACTTTATTTATTTAGTTATTTATTTTTGGCTGTGCTGGGTCTTCGTTGTTGCGTAGGCCACTCTCTAGTTGTGGTGCATGGGCTACTTAACTGCGGTCGCTTTTCCTACTACAGAGCACAGACTCTAGGGCGCGTGGGCTTCACTGGTTGTGGCACATGGGCTCAATAGTTGTGGTACACGGGCTTAGCTGCTCCATGGCATTTGGGATTTTCCCAGACCAGGGATTGAATTCATGTCTCCTGCATTGGCAGGTACATACTTTACCACTGAGCCACCAGGGAAGCCCTCCTTATCTTTACATTGTAAATTATAAATACATCCTGTTGGGAAGTAGAATGTCATTAAACAGTGAATTGCAAACATTTAAAATTTAAACCAATGCTTGTCAACCCCAGTTGTGTGTTAGATCATCTGGAGAGCATTAAAAATATCCTGTTCATGCCACTCTCCCTTCAGAGTCCGATTTGATTTGTCTGAGATGAGGCCAGTGTATTGGTTTGGTTGAGTGAACGGGTAGATGGATGAATCAGTGAAAGGATGAATGGAAACTTCATAATGTATTAAGGAGGACATCTGAGCCAGGCAAATTTAAGGGCAAGAAGAGTAAAATGAAGCCAGAGGTCATAGACATGCATGAAGTATAATGCCAGAAAGCCCTGTGAACATGTGAACCTGAAACCAAATCTGAGATTTGTGCTCTTTAGCAGCTGAAGCCAAGGGAAACACAATCACATGGATGACGACTCTGGTGCTCATAAGATTAAAAACGCTCTTGTCATCTATGAAAGCCAGATATTTTCAGGACTGACACTAACCTAGAGAAATAAAGAGGACCCCTGGTTATGAGGTGTGGGATATTTGTAACACATTTAGAGAAAGAAAAATGCAATTTGTCTTTCAGAGTGGAGGTGAAAGACCTTTTGAGTGATTTGAATGCTAGACAGTGAAGTCTCTAGACCCTAAAGGAGAATTAGTCTTTGTTAGGTATCTTCCATTGGTCTCTCTAGGTTACTTCCTACAACCAAGCTTCATTTCACTGCCTCCAGCCTTACATGTCCTTGGTCACTCAACCACATCACCTGTCACTAACCTCTTACTAAAGTTGATTTAACCATACTGGCCAACTCACTGTCCCTGGAACATACCAACCTTGGTCCAATCTTATGACCTTATATTTTTTATTTCTTCTGCCTGGAATGCTTTTTCCCTTTATTTTTGCATGGTCAACAGTTCATCATTCAAAATTTAGTTAAATCTCCTTCTTCACCTCCTTATGTAACTCTACATCCTTCACTATGCTCATCGTTTCTACCATATTACTCTGCTTTCCTTTTTTTGTAAAGCACCTGAAATTTATCTTAGTGATTCGTTAGTTTAATTATTGTCTTTTCTAATCCTTAAGTCTTCTTGCTCACTACTGTATTCCCAGTGCCCAAAATGGTGTTTGACACTGTAGTTGCTCAATAGATATTAACTGAATGAATGTATCAAGTTTTTCATGAATCCTTGATGATAGGCAGTTACCCTATGTGTTTGGTTAAACATAGAGCCAGACCCTTTCAGTCAACCAAATTGTAAATAAGACTGATATCCTCTCATTAAAAAGGAAGACACAGATCAGGATCCCTGGCCATACTCAAGGCCACCTCTCATCTTGTTTGGAGACCATGTTTTTTTGTGAGGCTTCATTACCCTTTTCCCACTTTTAAATTCATAGACAGTAGCCTGAAACTATATGATTCCAGTGGTGGTTTTTTCCAAGTCTTTTTGTTTTGTAATCAAATTTTTTATGTTTAAACTCCAGATCCTAAGCAAATGTACATGAAGCTTCAATTTTTACATTCAGTGAGGCTGTAGGAGAGCTTTGTAATGTCTCTGAGCCTTGATTCCACTTTTGAAAAATAGGGTTATGATAATAGTATATGCCACATAAGGCTGAGAATGAAAGGAAGTAATCCTTAAAAAGCACTTAGTATAATACCTGACACAGGATACTCAGGAGAACTTATTGATGATAATAGTAATATTAATAATGCCAGTTACAATATTGGTTTATTAATTATTATTATCCTTATTATTACATTCTCCCTGCCCCTTCTTGTAACGTACTATTTTGGGAAGTGACATCACCACTGAACTGATTTTATAGGTTTCCTGAATATACATACCAATCTGACTTGAATTCATCAAAATTATATTCCAAACACTTGGTAAACACCTTAGGTCATTTTAGTGCATTAACTCCCGATGCAAACTCTTGCTTTTGTTCAGAGATAGTTCTCCTAATGGCATGACTTCTTCCCTTTTCTCCACCTTTCCTGACTTGCCCCGATGCAGAGGAGAAGGCCAAGAAGGAGGCGGAGGAAAAGGCTCGCCGGGCTGCAGAGGAGAAGCAAAAGGAAATGGAAGCCAAAAGCCAAGCCGAAGAAAGTGCATCTGGCAAAGCTGAGAAAAAGGCGTCTGGGGAAGCTAAGAATCAAGTCAACGGAGCACGAACAAATAAAAGCAACAACCCTCATGGGAGAAATTCCAAAACTGAAAAATTATCGGGAGAAAAGCAGCAGAATGGTGAGCAGAATCGTGCTGGTGAAAGGCTCTTTTCAGGGTGTTAATGATATGATGAATGGACCCTGGCAAAGAACTGTCCCTGCCAGGACAGCTCACAGAGCAGCACTGCCTGGCCATCCCAGCTGCTGCTGATCGTATCTCCCTGAGCTGTGGATCCCATCAGGATTCCATCAAAGGCAGCTAGACGTTTGCTTGGGCCGTTGTCTCTGGGGAGTTTTGTACCTTTGGGCCCTGCCCAGCTGTACTGGAGACTGGCAAATGCCTGCTTTCTAAGGAGAAATTCATAGTTAGCAATCCCAGTACAATTTCTGAGTGCTTAGCGTCAGAATGGATGAATGGAAAGGCAGCTTTCTATATGTACCTTCCCCCGGGAGGGACAGGATTCATGTCTGTGTAAGGTTTGTTCAGTCTGGGGACTGCAAGATGTAGTAAATGTCAAAGAAAACTTTGAGAAGAGGTGGTATCTAACCTGGATTTTTAAATGCAGAAATTTGGGGGAACACAGGGACTTCTCAGCCATAGAGAATAAGATGACCTAAAGGCACAGGGGCATGGAATTGGTTACCTTGTTTAAGCGAAGAGCAGGAAGTTCAGAGTCACTGGAGCTTTCAAGTGCCAGCTTGTGGTGAGGTTGTTTGGCAGTCTAACAGACCTGGATTCAAGTCACAGCTATGCCTCTCACTTTTTATGGTCTTGGCCAGGTTACTTAACCCTCCACTGTCTCTGTAAAATGTGCATAATAATAGTTGCTCACAGCCTGGACCACTTGTGAGCTTCCAACAATAATAAGGATAGCAAAAACAACAACGGAACAACCAGCATTTATTGATTATATACCAGATGCTGTTTTCAGTTCTCTCTTGGGAATTCTGTGGCAGTTTAGGAGTGTTAGGACTCAGTGCTTCTATTGCAGGGGGTCCAGGTTTGGTCCCTGGTTGGGGAACTAAGATCCTGCAAGCCACACTGTGAGTTAGCTGTGCTTGTATTTAGTCCTGCCCCACTCTTTGTGACCCTATACACTGTAGCCCACAGTGCCGCTCTGTCCATGGGAATTTTTCAGGCAAGAATACTGGACTGAGTTGCCATTTCCTCCTCCAGGAGATTTTCCCAACCCAGGGATTGAACCTGTGTCTCCTGCGTCTCCTGCATTGGCAGGTGGAGTCTTTACCACTGAGCCCCCTGGGAAGACTGCAAGCTGCACAGCTTGGCCCAAAAATAAATATAAAAGACCATACCTTAAAAAAATTTTTTAGTAAATAAATAAATTCGCTCTTTACATATTCACTGTCTTATCTGCCTGGTAGATCCAGGTGATCTCCTCTAAATGATCTAGCTATGACACTACGCCACTCAGGTAAATCAGAAGTATGTCGAAAGTGCTTAGCCTTAACACTCCCCAAGTATTTTTGCAACTGACATATTAACATGTGGAATCAGAAAACAAGGTTTTAATACATAAAATAATGCTAATAGCTCATATCATGCCTCAAGAGCTTTGCATAAATTCCTTCAGGTAAGCCCCAAGAGCACCCCAGGAAGCAAAGGAGGCCATCGTCTGACTCGCCCAGCCTATTAGCAGCCAGGTTCTGGAGCCTGCTCATAACTAGTTGACTCTGTATTCAAGCATCATAGTCTGGCAAATAGTCAATTTAATAAGAATTTATAGTAGAACTGTTGAAGTTTTAGTGCATGCATGCTCAGTTGTGGTCAACTCTTTGTCACCTCATGGACTACAGCTCGCCAGTCTCCTCTGTCCATGGGATTCTTCAGGCAAGAACACTGGAGTGGGTTGCCATTTCCTTCTCCAGGGCATCTTCCCGACCCAGGGATTGAACCTAGGTCTCCTGCATTGCCAGCAGATTCTTTACCATCTGGGCCACCTGGGAAGTCCTAGAGAGCAATGTAAAACACTCCTTTCTTCCCCTCCCAAGGAATGAACCAACTGAGAGATACTAGAATCAAAAAATGGTCAGAATATTAGCTCCACTGGCAGTGGAGCTGTGAAGTGAAAAACAGAGTTGGTCTGCTGAGCACGTGGGCTTCTCACATATGGCCTAAACTAGGCTTAGCCTGCCAGACACCAGCAGAGCAGACGGGCTCAGGTCTCGCCCCATCACTCCACCAGAGCAGGCTGTTTCTGCGGTGACAGAAAAGGGGTGTGTCTTGTGGAAAACACATCTCAAAGTGGGTTGAGGGCTGGACAGGGTGTGGCTGGGCTGAATCGGGCATACTCAACTCTTCCTTTTAGATAAGCATCTCCTTCCCAAGGGAGGAGTACGTAAGGGCTGTGAGAAAGGCAAGACGTGTTTCTTCTCTACTTATTTCCTTTTAGGAATGTGGGTTTAACTTAAAAAAAAAAAAAAGTCATTATTATGTCAGTAACACATATGGAATGCGTAATATGTGGGTATAATAATGCACCAGACATTATAGGTGGGATTTTATACACATTAAATCATTTAAAAATCCTAACAACTGTATGAGGTAGATATACTCATTTCCATTTTGTAGATGAGGAAACTAAGACTTAGAGAGGTTAAATCAGTTGCTTGAGGCCAAGCAAGCATTCAGTAGAGATTTTAGGCCAAATTCCAGAATAATGTGGATCCAAATTCTATCTTCTTTTGCCAGCATGACCCCATTTGAGAGGTTCAGTGCTGTTGGGAAGAGCAGGAAATCAGAAGAACATTGAGACTCAACTCCTGTCCACAAAATGTTTATAATCTACTTCTTCCAGGGGTTGGCATACTCTTTCTATAAAGGATCAGATAATAAATGTCATGCATTGCTGCCATTTGGTCTCTGTTGCAACTACTTAACAGAGGCCTATTTTAGCACAAATGCAACCACAGATAACATGTAAACAAATGAGAATGGCTGTGTTGCAATAAAACTTTATTTATGAAAATTTAGATTCTCACATAACATTCAATAACCTTCTCTTTTTTATCAACCATTTAATAATACAAAAACTGTTCTTAGGTTGTGGGCCATATACAACCAGGCAACGGGGTCAGGTTTGGCCCCCGGACCATAGTTATGTAGTCAGAAAATGAAACCAATGAATACAAATATGCTGGTCACAAAGGAGGTTATACATTCTATGAGACGGGTATAAATGAATACCCAGAGAGGGCAGAGGTGACAACAATTTATCAATATTTTGAAGATAATTAGGGGGAGAGCCTGAAAGGCACAAACAGGAGTCCAAATTTTCACCTAGGCTGGGTTGATTCACGACTGTGTTTACTTCCCAAAGTAAGCATTGGTTTGCCATTTCCCTTAAAAATTAAGTATTAAATGAGAGGTGGGAAAAGAAATCAATTTTGAGCAATAATAAGAAAGGCTGGTGGTGGTTCGGGTCCGGGTTGTAGCAGCCTAATTAAAATGATTTGTAACTGCACAGAAAGGCTCTTTTGTTTCCCCCTGTTTTTTGAATAACAGCTCATATCAGCTGTTAGTCCATTTTCAACCCATGGGAAGTTCCTAATGGACTCGGTTCAAGGAACATCATCAGACAAACATACATCACTTTCCTGGCACCCTTCTTTGTGGCCACCCAAGGTACTTTTAGGATAGAGCTGAAGGACGTTGACTCATTGGGATTCTAGAGGTTTGAGCCCCTATCCACAATCATGGGAACCCCTAAGCTTTGGTCTCCATCAAGGCACTTTCCCTCTCAGCCTCCCCAACCCTGACTGAGGAGAAGGCAGGCTGCCACGGGCTGCTGGCCAGCATCCAGCACACCAAACCTCTCCAGCTGACTTCCTGGCTTTGCTGCAACTGTGGCTAAAGCTCCAATGCAGGGCAATCTTGAAAGCTTAAAGTATTGTGCTTTAGGGGTATGAAGGCTCATTGAGGAAAGAAAGAGCATTTTTCTGCAGGGAATTGGTTTGACTACAAGGCTAAAGATTATCCTTGAGTTCATTTCTGTCATCCTTAAAACAGGGAAAAGCCAGTGTTTGGACTGTTCCATGGGTCGCCAAAGGAATCCATCTACCTTGGCCATTGGTGGTGGTGGTAACCATGTGCTGCACTGAGACTCCTGCTCACATTCTGGCCAGAGTTGGCTCCCATTCCCTCAAGCTTAGAATTTGTCAAATTCCATTAAAACTATTTATTTTGTATTGCAAAACTACTTAGAATGTATTGAAACCTAATTATCTTGTATTATCCTCAGATAATTATCTTAAATTATCCTTGAATTCATCTTGAATTATCCTTGAATTTCTTGAATTAGCCTTACATAACCATTTCTTTATAAATCAGTAGACTAAAGGCATTTAGAAATGCCAACAGTAAATGGAAGTCTGAAATCTAGAACTTAAACATCTTAGAGAAGTTGCAAAATACAGTATTTGAGAACTTGGCCTCTAAAATCAGACCCATATGTGTATGTTATGGTCAATTACTTTACTTGTGCTTCAGGTTCCATAGCTATAAAATTGAGATGTTGATACGAGTCTCACATCCATTCTCCGTTAGTCTATTTTATATTTAAGCAAAAACAGTCAGTTGGTCATTTGTCAGATCAATGGTTTAAACCAAATTTAAAGTAGCCAACAGGAGCAGTTTTGCTGCAGAGGGAGATACTTCTGCAAAGTTTGGGAGAGATGGGGCCTGAGAGTGTGTGAAACACAGGAAGGCTGGCAGTCGATTACAACTCAACACAGTTGGCCTGACCAGTGTGTGAACTTGCAATGAACTCAAGGCAAAATTCAAATTTGGAAGACATCCTCAATCATTTGGTGACTTATTATTCAGCATATTGATCACTTAGTGAATGAATCTTTGGTGAATTTGTCTGCTTTCAATAATAGTATCTTCATAATGGGATTGCTATACAAATTTAGTGAAATGATGCACGCAAAGCATTTAGCATACTGCCTGGCGCAAAGAAAGTAGAAAGGGTAAATGTAACCCTCCCACCATGGGCCCTATTCCCCCCTCTTCCTGGATACAATAATTATTAGGGTCTTTTTGCTTAAGTAATGCCAGTAATTCAGTAGTAACCTATTCTTGGTTTTATGTAGGCTAGAAAGAAAACTGCCATTAGTATGATTTGTAAGAAAAATATTTGAAACTTGAGAGTAAATTTGAGAAAAATGTTGCCATGTCCTTTCAATGCTAGAAAGGCATATTTTCAAACAGATCTGCCTAAGGATTATTTAACCATCTTGGGCAGCAAACATTTTCTGTGTAGGCCCAGATAGTAAATATTCCTTGCTTTGTGTCTCTACCACTGCAGCTACAGACTATATGTAAATGAATGGGTGTGGCTAGGTTCCAATAAAACTTTACATCCAGAAATGATAACAGGCCAGACTGGCTCATGGACTGGCTCATGATTTGCTGACTCCTTGCTTTAGGAGAACATGACTATGCTTAGCTTCATCATTTACTATTTGACTCAAACCTAGGTACTGTGACGTTCCATGAGAACTTATAGATTTTTGACTATTAAGGATGATAACCCCAACAATTAACACTTTTTTTTTTTGCTCTGTAGGACATAACCAGTTTTGTCTCTAACCTAGTAATCTTATTTTAATGTATTTCTAAAATGCCCAGAAATAGCCATTTCTTTATTATCTTCCTGGTTCCCTCATGAATGAATTAAATAAAATTTTGACATGCATTCAGTCTACATTTGTGTGCATAGTGTTTTTTAACTTTTTATATATTACACTTCAGCAAACTCATTAATTAAAGTACCACTTTACAGCTCTGTTTTAGAATAACAGCCGTCATTGAGTGAAGTGCAAGATAGCACATTCAGTACCTTAAATGCATTTGTCCTTATATTATGTCTATAAAGTAGGCATTATTATCCCCATTTTGCAGCTAAGGAAAAGCACATAGAAATTAAACAGTGGCTATTAATTGATATAACTTAGAGTAACCCAGGTTTTTCCTCACTCCACAGCCTAACAGTAAAGCTTAACTGCCTGCCTTGAAAAATAAACATCATTGACTTAAGTACAATCCTGTTTAACATGAACTCTTAGTCCTGATTTCCAGATCGTAACCCAACTTCCAGGACCTAATCCAATTTCCTGATATTTACACATAGACATATAACCCCTCAAGACTAAATTTATGCAGTACTTTGTTTTCTTTTTTTATCTTGACAAGTTTAAAGATATTTATAACTTCCCCCTTGGCTTTATACATATACTGTTTGTCATGTTTATTACTTTCAGGTGACTTGAAAGATGGTAAAAATAAGACAGGCAAGAAGGATCAATCTGATGTCGGAAATGATTCAAAGAAAACAGATGGTAAGAGCATAATTCCCATTATATTTTTCCATAAAATGTGCAATTTAATGCAGGCTTGTTAGAATTACACATAAAGTTGAAACTGTGACTCTTAATATAGCCTTATACCCCCTAAAAACATTCACTACATTTAAAGAGTACTATTATCCCTTTTCCAATAATTTATAAATTATTATTGTATCGCTTCCCTTCCACCATACTTTCTCCATTACAAATGCATTCTATACTCTTTCTTTTCCCACTTGCCATTTTTCATGTTAAACTTTTTGAAAAGTTGATTCTGGGATTGTTGAATGTAATGGAATGGAATATAAGTCTTAATGAATTATTCAATATAAATGGGAAATGTGCCACATTTTCAGTTTTTTTTTTTTTTAACCTTTAATGAGTTACTGCTTTTGTGAAAAACAAAAACAGAAATCTGTTCAGTGTTATCAGTATGTCAGGAGAACCAAGTACTTGAATGTGGGTAGCTCTAGAATAAGGGTTTGGTCAGCAAGAGTATGTTTTAAAGGCAAGTTTTGAATGAGAATCCCAAACCAGCTAGAATGAACCTACATTGTAATGGGCTTTATGAGCACTGCTTTTGCTTTGCATAAATAGCATTCTAGTCTTTCTAAAATCTGAAAGTTCAACTTCTATTACCCTCCAACATTGGACCATTTGATTGAAAAAACTATTCTCACCTTTTATATAATCCTCCTGTTTCAATTATAACATGCACTCATTCCTAGTTATAATATACATGATATTAAACTAAAAATGAAAATTTTAGGGAGTAGTCTTTGTTAGGGTCCCAGGCGCTAGTGGTAAAGAATCTACCTGCCAATGCAGATTAGACATAAGAGACGTGGGTTCAGTCCCTGGGTTGGGAAGATCCTCTGGAGCAGGGCATGGCAACCCCCTCCAGTATTCTTGCCTGGAGAATCCCATGGACAGAGGAGCCTGGTGGATTGCAGTCCATGAGGTCGCACAGAGTCAGACATGACTGAAGTGATTTAGCACACACAGCACATAGACTCTTTGAACCATACCTCCCTGCAGACATTGTACTGGATGCTAAACTGTTCTTTGAAGAGTTTAGTTATTCAAAGAAGAACAAATGCAGGGTAATCAGGTTGAGGAGTGAGAATTTTAAATGCTTCTCCTCATACATCTGTTGAAAAGAATCTCCTTAAGCTTTTATCTCTAAGCCATTGTGATGTGCTCTCTTTACCCATATGCAGGAAATCAGTTCTTTCCTTGAAGATCATTCAAATAGTTCACTCTAGGTGTCTTGTCACATTATACCTGGGGAACACACATGTCCAATTTTTTTTCCATATTGTTTATGCAAATGGAATCCATTTGCTTAATACATACCCTCCTTGATTGATTGTGACTAAGATGTGAATTATAGGGAGAGAAAACAGAATTCCTAATGATGGCCTCTTAGCCAGATTCTGTTATAGGTGAGGTTTGTTCAAGTACCAGACATCATTACACCAAGTCAAGGTAACACAAGCCAGAATATGTATAGTAGACGAGAATGGTGTTAGTTATAAACCCAGCACCTAGACACCTAACCCAGCCTGTATCCAGTGACTGACCCATCTGAATTTCTACAGCATAAAAAGCCCAGAATAAATCAATTCCCAGACCTTTAATGTGGATTCTTAAATCTTGTTGCATTTTTGTATTATACTATAAATAACTGTTATGATGTATTCATGTGAGCATTATAGTTTAAATTTTATTACCTTCATTAGGCCCCTTTACCTGTGTCCTTTTTCACTGAATTATCACCAGATGTTTTAAATAATTAAAATTTCTTTTTGGTGGGGAGAAGTTATGAAATAGATATTTTGTTCTATTGTACAAAAAAGTATAAAGCTTGATTATTTAATGAACAGGATTCTTGATCCCATAGGGTAGTGAGCAGGAGGCAATAAATAAAGAAGGGACATTTTCTGATGTCTATACTTTTTCCTTCCATAATTTTAACCTTCACTGATTCAAATAGGGTCTGGTGTGTCCCTATACTTTTAAGTTTGGACATGAACAACTGTGTATTTTAATTTCATTGATGGTCCAACATGACATCAGTAATTACCATTGCTTTGGTATCATCAGGAAGTAGACCATTGTGCTTTAGTTACTTGTGCTATCTTATCTTAGCCCAATATCTCATCAGGAGTAAAGTTATTTCTGGGTGGCATGAAGTAGAAAAGAATTTGTTCAGCTTCCTGTACCCGTTCTCCTCTGGTCATTAAAACTCTCTTCTTTAGAAAAAATTTTTTATGTAATAAGCACAATATAATGGGATCAAATAAACAGTATAGAAAATTAAGGGCTTCCGTGGTGGCTCAGACAGTAGAGAATCCGCCTGCAATGCGGGAGACCTGGGTTCAATCCCTGAGTTAGGAAGATCCTCTGAAGGAGGTCATGGCAACCCACTCTAGTATTCTTGCCTGGAGAATCCTCATGAACAGAGGAGCCTGGTGGGCTACAGTCCTTGGGGTCGCAAAGAGTCAGATACAACTGAGCGACTAAGCACACATAGAAAATTAAAACACTTTGCATCTCTACTGGGGTGTTTTCAGTTCTTGTCGGAAGATCTAACAGCATAGTGGTTAAGCTCCTGGGTTCTGAAGCCGGGTATTTTGGTTTAAATCTCGCCTCTACCACGTAACAGTTTTCTTAACTTTGGACAGTTAGTATTATTTTAAAAATGAACTGCCAGCTGGATGGAGAAATTTGAGGTGCCTCTCCCTCCCTCTTTGTCCCTGGAATGCATGACCTGCCTACTCTTTCTGAACCAGGAGCTTTTCCAAGGATGTAGCCTTGAGAGAGTAAGGCAGTGTTGTGATCATCTATACTGAATACATGATTAAAACCCAGTTAAAGCTTCTACATGAGCTTTTGAGATCCTCGCTGGCACATGCACAGAGCTACTTGTCTTAAAGTCTGCATGAGACAAGTCTCTTATGAGATAACCTGGAGAAGGAAATGGCAATCCATTCCAGTATTCTTGCCTGGAGAATTCTATGGACAGAGGAGCCTAGCTTGCTACAGTCCATGGGGTTGAAAAGAGTCAGACATGACTGAACTACTAATACAGAGTTGTAATAGACTTCAGAATTTATTATTGTTTTGAACCATAGGAATAATCACATAAAAATTTAATTTAGAGTGATATCTCAAAGTTTAGACATCTCATTTAATATATTGGAAATATAGTTTGAGAGAAGTGTTAGTAAATGTAGCATTGCATTGAGCTTAGAGCATGGATTTAGATCAGAAAGAACTAAGTTCCTGTGCCAACAATAGTGGTAGTCCTATGGCCTTGGATGAATTATAATCTTACTGTGCTTCTGTCGTTATCATTTATATGAACAGTGATAAAGATTCTTCATAGGGGTTGGAAAGCAACTGAAACATTGCCCTCTATATGGTAATGCTCAATATATGTTAGTTTTCCTAAAAATGATATGTGTATCAGTTAGATATGGTAATGCTCAATATATGTTAGTTTTCCTAAAAATGATATGTGTATCAGTTAGATATGGTAATGCTCAATATATGTTAGTTTTCCTAAAAATGATATGTGTATCAGTTAGATATGGTAATGCTCAATATATGTTAGTTTTCCTAAAAATGATATGTATATCAGTTAGATATGGTAATGCTCAATATATGTTAGTTTTCCTAAAAATGATATGTATATCAGTTAGATATGGTAATGCTCAATATATGTTAGTTTTCCTAAAAATGATATGTATATCAGTTAGATATATTGACTTTTAGAAACTATCTAGTGACAAACAGAAACACTTTGAACATTTCTTTTTAATGACTCTTACTACATCTGATGACCAAGGGGAGTCAATTTAACTATTTTTAATACCCTTACCCTTAGTACAACCCCTGGGAACCAGCTCTAATTTTTGAAAGGGAGTGTCCGAGCACAATTCGGTGCCCAGTGTGATCAAACCCACTCTGTTTAGAAGTTTCAATATTGTACACGTTCAGAAAGAAACCCGGTGGAAACTAGACCACAGTTGGTTATTCCCAAACTCCAGTGAGCAGTGGCAGACAGAGAGGGGAGGAGCATGTGCTGAAAGGGGTAAATTACCACTGGCGTAATGAACACATTGCAGTTGTAAATTGTCTCTGTCAGGCTGCTGAAGTACTGTTTAATACCCTGCAGCACTAATTTTTCTAACTGACTTCAAAGAATGAATGCTCTTTGACAAATACCTTGTTTATTCTTAGGGAGAAATGTACTAACATAAAAAGATCTAGGCTTCTGAGCCAAGATTCTCTCAGGGCTTAAAGTTTTCATGATCATTGGAAGACTTGTAAGGTACTATGTGAATGAATTATTTTCAATGTGTTTTTAGTCTTGTTTGAAACAGCATAGCTATAATTTTTATAGTTGCCCAGAAATATGAAGTTGCCTTTAACTTTACTTCACTGCATTAACAGAGATATAAGAGATAGCCACTGTTTGTGTCTCTCAAATGATTGATTATAATTAGGGCCTGCAAGGTTATTTATCAAGTGGGGCAGTACAGCAAGAATTTTTCCTTTATTGAATGTTCTGAGAAGTAGAATGCTTAAAGATGTTGGTTCATGAAATTTTGGTCAGTTGTGAAGAGTTGACATCTACTTCTCCAAAGAGGATGACCAAGAATTAGATTTACCCTTCCACTTGAAACATTTTTTTAATAAAGACAATGTATGTGGAAGAGTGGTTTTCAAGAAGTGAAGACGTTAAGAAATATTGGACATCATGAAATGAAAACAGTCTGTCTAAGAGACAAGAAGCAAATGAAGTGAGCCCTACAATTGCCTCAGCTTACTGCAATTAGTGGGTTTCCAGGCAGACCTGAGGGACTCCTTGAGCTGAGGAGTTGACTGAGGATCCAGGGAGGCTAAAGTGGCTATGATTAGCAGGATAAAGTATCAGAGAGAATAGAGCTGCAGAGAGATAGAACTCTAGAAATCTGAAGAGCATT